TATATGAGCCTTCATTGCTTTCAAATCCTAAATAATCTCCTGCCAATCGGCTGCTGGTGACTGGTTTGCCACTTGCTGATAATCGACTGCTGGTCGCTGATAACTTTCAGTCCAACCATTCGATTGATTGGCCATCGGCTGCACCCCGAGTATTGAAGATTGTGATACGGGAGTGACATGCTGATTTACCACTTGCCGATAATCGGTTGCTGGCATTTGCTGATAATCGGCTGCTGAAACTTGCCGATAATCAGCGATTGTTGGCATTTGCCGATAATCGAATGTTGGCGTCTGCTGATAATCGACTATTGGTACTTGCCGATAATCGACTGTTGGAATATGTCGATAATCAACGACTTCTGGAACATGCCGATAATCAGCGACTTCTGGAGCATGTCGATAATCATTGCTAGAACATGCCGATTATCGGCGATTGATTGCTGATAATTGTCTGGCCAACCATATGGCTGATTAGAATATTGGTACATCGGCTGATTTGACTGTTCAGAATATTTGTATGTCGGTTGAGAAATCGACTGTATATTTTTATTATAAATCACTCACCTAGTGGGGTCCCACCGGGCGTGCCAAAAATGTTGACCCTAAAATCGGCCGATTAGAGCCGATCTTAATTTGATGTAAAACGGGAGTGCTAGAACCACTTGTGTGGTTCGATTGTAAATAGTCAACGTTAGTCTCTTTGAGTAAGTTGACTTTCAGGCGATTGTGAGGAAAAAATGGAACAGAAAAACTCCTCTTTGGGTTCAAAATTGCCTTAGTTAAAAGGACTTTCCAGTGAATAATTTATAGTAACGTATCAAGAGAATAGAAATGGGAGAAAAACAGATATAGAAGGTGATAGGGAGAAGAGATAGGGAGAAAGAGATATAGGGAGAGAAATAGAATGAGACTGAAATAGAGATGGGAGAGATAGAGATAGCAAGGATGCTATTTGGGGAAAGTGCTTGAGAAAACAAACAAATACATTAAAGGATTCTGAGGGTACTGGACCTCTATCTCAGCATGCCTATAGCATTATTTATAAAAAACTATATAAAACAAACTCCTATATGCAAGTATTTTACTTGCATTACAACTCCATCACTTAATCAACTATTAATTCAAAATAAACTAATCCTATAGATAACATAATTATGCAACTAAAACTAACTAAAAGATAAGTCTTAAAACAATTATCTTTATCCACAACTTATTCAAAATACTCTTCCCATCTTTGCATGCAATTTCAACTTCAATCTACGTGGAATATCACCCTTCTCTATTGCCACGTCATCAATTCAAAATTTACCAAAATGGGTGTCAACAAAATGTATATGTGTTTATATACATATGTATATGTATGTATAAGGGAGAGAGAACGAGGTGTGTAATAGTCCAAATGTTTAGCTTGGACTATTGGGACAATTTAACGTGCCATCCACGCCACTTACCAAGCAAAGTTATAAATGAATAAACATTAATCCCCTCCTTTTTGCCATACCCTAGCTATAAGCTCCTCCCCCCCAAACCCTAAAAAAATTGTAATTTCAAAAAATAAAAACATAAATTAGTAAATAAATAAATAATTAAAAACCAATGTATATATTCATCAAAGATCCATTTAGAGCCCTAAAACTTTCAATAAAAAAGTTTCATTTGGGAAAATCTAATTAAAAAAATTATTGTAATTTATAGTTTTGTCTGCTTTGTGGTCATCATTAGCAATTTAGCGTGCAAGACAAAATAAAAATTTGGAAACCAAGTCAATGCCATAAACAAGTGCTTAAACACCCTGTGGTGGAGTTGTTGTGGTGTATTATATATATGCTATCTTAAACATGTAACTTTTTGTCATTTGCAGAGACATGGTTGAACTAAACTAACTTATCCCAATTTTAATAAACATTGTCTGGGGAATGAATATGACCACATAAAACAGCTAGATATATAAGCAAAGCTTATTGGCCATTAGTTTATGGCCCACGAACATTCCGACACGTGGAACCGCGTCATTCGTCAGCCGACTCCCCCCAGCTTATAATATGCTATATTTTGCTTTCTTACAACTAACTCATGTCTAATTAGATTCCAATGACTTGGCCCACATTTTTTTAATTGGTTTAGCTCTAATCTGCTTGTGATTAATTTAATCAAATGATGATGATAACCTCAACAAAATTGTTAATTAATACTAATGTTTTGATAAAATAAGCATAAAGTGCATTGGGTCATAGTCTATAATTATAATTAAGTCATATTGGTGGAGGTCATGATATATGGTGTGTGCTTACGAAGAGATGGGCTAGTACAACTTAGTTTTCACATGTCAGGATAAGATTTTCTAATCAATCTTTAAAATCAGTTCGCTTATTTTTCGTTGTGTGTATGCATATATGACAATTCCTTGTGACTTATGGTTTACTTATGATTTTATGTTTTTCACAATGTTGTGTTGACGATAATGGTGGTGGTGGTGGTGGTGGTGGTGGTGGTGGTGATGATGATGATGATGATGATGTGTGCTAATGGATGGATATGACATATATATATATACTCCGTATATCCAAATTCAAATGTAGATTCTCTTAATACTAAAACTCAGATTTGAGCTACAAAGAAGGGAGAGTAAGTGGTATATATGAAGTACAAGTAAAATAATTGGAAGTTGAAAGTATCTACTTTTGATGATGCATGCAGTTCCTTTCATCTTTCACATTTTTCTTTATATTCTTCTTTTTTGTTTTTTCTTATCTAGCTTTACTTGAGTCATGTCAGAATATCATGCATCTTTGGGAATTGGGATGTTCTAATTTGATTTAGAGATAGGGATAGAGATAGAGATAGAGATAGAGATAAAAGAAAGAGAGGGTTGGGATGAAGAAACTAGCTTCCAAGTGAGAAAGCTAAAGAAATCTTTAAAAGGAATATGGTGGTAATTAAAAATGGATGAAGAGGAAGTTGTATACTCAAAAGCTAGAGGTGGTTGTACCAGGCAAAATTAAAAGTTAACTTAGGACAATCCGACCCTTGTTACGAATGGGTGACACCATATAAGTTTAGATTGTTCGATAATTAAGCCTATCTGTTCTTTAAAGTCTAAGACCCTCTCCATTCATATCCGATATGAAACAAGACTCTTGTGACACTAGTCATTTAATAAGTTATTGTTTAACCATTGATGGTAATCTTATTCACTACTTGAAAGGATAGTCTTGATGGAGTGGTTATGGAAGCTTGAATGACACACGTACAGGAGGGAGGGAGGGAGGGGGGGAGAGACAGAGAGAGAGAGAGAGAGGGGGAGGTATGAGATTGGTGAAAAAGCTGAACACCCAGGCAAAATACTTATCTTCACAGTTGAGAAACTAGGAGAGAAGAAAGAAAGAATATTAAAAGCCATACATGCCTCAAAGCTCATCATCATCATCATTTTGCATTCAAACACCATATATGATTTGTCATCTACTGCTTGGTCAAGCAAGGTTTCCACATGTCCAATCCTTCTTTTTAATACTAGAAATTTGTGGGTGATGTGTTACAAGAGGAGAATTTCAATTATGATCTGTCTTCTTGTGGCTTTGAGGCCCAGAACACAACAAGGAATAAAGCATTGTGTTTGCTAAGGAAAGAAAAAGTAGGAAAAGGCAAAAGCAATAACTTTGAGAAACATGGCCTCATGTTATGTTTCATCACTAATAGTAATCAATTATTCAGGTAAATAGAGGTGGATTGCTAAGATTAGCCACAACCATGTGCTGACCCTTTAAAATAACAATGCAAAACAACTGCACCATTGGCAGAACCTGGTCGTATAATGGACAAAATGAGAAAAGTAAACAAAGTAACTTCTGGAATCTCTCTCTCATGGTGTGTGTATATATATAAAAAGCAATCTTACCCCACGAGACTTCCTCCATTGCGGTGTCTGGGGGCCGTTTAGATGTGTGCAATCATACCTCTACAGGGGTGTATATATATATATATATATATATATATATATATTTATGTTCATGTTCATGTCGATCATGACAAAGTTTTACGCTGACTGATCAAGCTACCTGCACAGGCGGAGTTATGGTGTGTGTGTGTGTGTGTATTCAAACCTCCCTGGAAGGAGAAATATAAAATGATGCTGAAGTAATAGAGATAGCTTAAGATGGCTGCAAACAAGCACCGCCTAATAATAGGATACTAACATCTTGAGGCTTAAATTTAATTGGAGGTGAAACTGGCCCATAGGATTGCCCTCACTTTTTAGCATTTCTTTAATGCTAGATTTGGAAAAGAAAGTCATGATTTGCTCAAACTTGTGAAACAAAATTCATCTATTTAAATAAATAAATAAATAATTGTTCCAAGGCCTGTTCAAAGCCAATAATGATGTTTATGATAATGTTGATAATTATGCTTTCCTAATTTTAGTTCTAATATATGGTTTTCATCTGATTACCTGTAAATCAGGATCAATCATTAGGTGACCAACAAGTCTTATTACATGGGAATGTGTGTACAATTAGCATATATTTACTCTGCAACTAGTGTGTTAGCATAAGTAAAGATATTAGTGATACAAAGATAGTTAAAAGTATCTTGTGCTAACAATCTAATCATCATATTAAACTCAATTAGGAAAGTGAAAAGTTCAAAAGAGCATGTGGCCGGTGTTTGAGAAAATCACATGACTATTGATAAAAAAATAAAAATAAATAAAAAAACACCATCATATAATGCCATCAAAGTAATGCTAGGCTTGAGGTTAATTATTGCAGTCACTGTCATGGAAGAATATTCACCCCCATCTTATAAACCCTAGAAGGCAGGGGAGCCAAGAAACATGAGCTGTCAGCTTTTGATTGGTGGTGACAGCATTGAGAATGGCAAGCACGAAAGAGTGGAATAGTTGAAGGTGGTGAGCTTTTCCTATTGAACAAGCAGATCTGACTTGGAGCACAACTTTTCTTTGTAAGCATAATGTTAGGTCCTTTTCATTTTTTTAATGAGGCTTGAAAGAAACCTTTCATCACATAATTATATGTTCTTAAGCATATAAATACACACACACAGTCACATACTATATTAACAATACTTGTTCCACCTCTCATTTTAATTCATATTAATTAGCTAGCATGGAGAATCAATTTCTTTAGATGGAAACCTTCTTGCAAAAGGACTTTCCATCTTATTTTCTTGGAATGGAAAATGGATCAAGAATATTTTCAGCCGATCCAATCATCTGGGGTGCTCTAGCTGATGAGAATACTTGTGGCGAAGGTGATTATTGTAGCAGTGTAAGATCATCTTCATCATCCCCTGATAGTTTTTTTTCGAGTTCAAACTCAAGTTGTTCCATGGATGAGGCTTCTGCAGCCACCACCATGACTACTAAAGTCCCTGAATTCACCATAGCACAAGACATGTTCGAACCGCCTACTCCATTTGTTTCTAGATTGAATTTTGGCAACCTTTCTGATCATGTCAAAAACGGCTATGTTCCATTAAATTTTCTGAAATCCTTCCCAGAACTCAACCATGTTCAAGTGCCTGAACCGTCTACGCCACCTTCACAATCAAGCCCTTCAAAGTTCCCAAACCTAGGCTTGTGTTTGCAGGAACCAAACATCTTAAATATACCAACAGGAGCTGTTGATTCTCTTGGGAAAACCCTAAAGAGTGAGCCCATGTCATCCTCATTGAACCCTTTGTTTCACATGTCTCAGCATGGCCAGAGCCAGCTTCAACCGGGCGTGGAGTGGCTCAAAATCAATCAAACCTTGACAGACTATCCCTCAAGAGGCTTTGGTGACTACTGGCTGAGTACTACCAAGACACAGCCGATGAAGTACACCGGAAAACGAATGCAGTCTCACAGCCAGAAAACCTCTTTGTCATCAGTATCATCGTCCCCGGGAAAGCTGTTCAGAGGAGTGAGGCAAAGGCACTGGGGGAAATGGGTGGCAGAGATTAGGTTACCGCGAAACCGGACAAGGGTTTGGCTGGGGACTTTTGACACAGCAGAAGATGCTGCTTTTGCTTATGACACAGCAGCTTACATGTTGAGGGGAGACTATGCGCAATTGAACTTTCCAGATATCAAGCATAAACTTAAGGCCAATCCTGCAAATGGAACAACAGCAGCACTTCTCAAAGCGAAGTTACAGGCAATATCTCAGGGAGTTTCCAAGAACAAGAAGCCAGTTGATCCTCCACCAATGTCACCAAATGAGCACTTGACAGAGGATTCGAAAGGACTCGGAGGTTTGAGCCAAAACCCATCAAGAAAAGAGTGGCAGTTTGAGTTGGAGAGCAAAGTTGGATCAGATCAGACGGTTGAGAATAAGACGACTACACAAGAAGTGTCATCAGAGTTTGATGGTGTTCAGCTAAGTAGAATGCCATCCTTGGACATGGACATGATCTGGGATGCACTTCTAGTCTCTGATTCATGAATCATAATGTTGAATTCCTTAGGTTTAATAGATCTTCCTGTGGTTGATTTTCTGTTCTTTAAGGTACAAGCTTGACTTTGTGTTTGTTTTCAATAGGAAGCCAATTAGTTTGCTCTTTATTGGTGGCCACAGTTAAGATCTCTTGTTTGATTATAAGTACTTTATGCAGTTCTCTCCTCTTCTTTTTTTGTTACTTCTTTGCTGAATTTGAGATTCTTTGAGTTTTTGTTGATCTACAAAATTTCTATGTCATGAGAAGAAGGATGAATTTTTATTAGCATTCAAACTTGTCAAGCTAAATGGGAAGATCCAGATTTAAAATGTGCTTCATGGCCCTCTTATATTGAGTCAAAGGGCGGCATAAAGAATGTTAGAGGTCACCGTGGGCCCAAATTTAGAGGTATAAATAACGTGTCCTGATACATCCTGTTATACAACAAGGGACGGCTTAGATAAAACCATATTATTTTTTAAAAATACAATAGTGTGTGTTTGATCTAGATGCAGAGGTACTTCCTTCTATTACTTTTATTTTTCATTATTTATTTGGTTGCATTCCATTAGTCAGCTAAATGAGAACATGGACCAGGTGCCAAGTCAAAAATCAAGGTTCACTTACTGATGCAATAACTTAAACAAGATTAGTAGAAAAAATGAATTTTTATTTGACAATCTAGAGTCCAACAGTACCAAAGTGACACAAATATCGATTTCAAATCTTAATTACCGAATATATATATATATATATATATATATCGAATTCAAATCTACCCACAGTTAAGCATCAATATACTTCAAATAAACCTGCTGAAACCATTTAAAGCCTTTTGATCAATAATTTTCATTTATAAAGTCAAAATGAGAAAAATTACATAGTGGCGGTAGATAAAAGGAACTGAACAGTGTTATCAAATTTTTACTATTTCATGATGAAAGTAAGTAAATTACGAGTTGAAATTATTGTTGCACTGCATCCAATAATTCATATCACACATATATACACTTCGTGTAATTAATGAGGACCGTCGAATAATACAACACGAGTATATATATATATATATAACCCAAAGTCTTATCATCATTCATTATAGTAACACGTATGAAACAGCATTTGACATTTTCCTTGGTTTTCATTATCGATGACATATAGTAAACTAGAGTTTACACCTTGTTTTTCTCTCTCACTTGTACTATTTAATTGTGGAATACATTTTTTCTTAGGAATTCGTCAAAGATACATTTGATTCACGCATGTAATGAAGAATGCGTGTCCAAGCAGCTAGCGGTGGGTTAATTCTAATGTCTACATTGCCAAAAAATAATAATAATAATAATAACAACAACACCGACGTATTCTATGTAATTTTTTTTTATGGTGCGCGAGTGTAAGATTAATGACAATAATGATGAAATGTGAAAGATATTTGTAACAACACTTACCTTAGTCAGGCAATTCTGGTTAATTTACAGTCATCACGACTTTAAAATGCGAAGAATGCTGAATTTACCTATAACACTTGCCCCATTCACACCCAAACAATGTGAGATTGTGCACCTGTAACTTATCTAATATGATAGCCCGCCAATGTCTCTTACACCCGCCGACAACACACCCGCCTACACCCAAACCTATGAATCCATTAGCTACACAATGAGCCTGCTTTTAAACATCATTTCTGGTGCCTTCAGGTCAGATGTTGTTTCAAATCACTTTCAGGGATCAAAAAACGTTTGGTTTCTCTCGTGTACACTTACTGCAAGTGCAAGTTTGTGAAATGGTCCAGTCCGCTGCTGATTGGTCCAGCAAATAGCAATGTTGTGCAAAGGTATAATACAGCAAATAAATTATGCTAGTCCCATTAGCAATGGTGTCAAAGAAAAAATGGTCTTGTCAATTGTCAACTCTAATTTGATAATGTACAAGTGTCTCTCTGATATGATCATGGACAAGTCTAGTTCTGTTTTAAGGGTTTAACCAAAAGTAAGCCTGTGAGGATATGATTGACATGTTTGTCTTTACGCTGAAACTCTATCCCTTGTATCTTTTCATTTCATACTCTATAAGCGGTACTTGAAACAGGGGAAAAATTTTCAGATCACTTGGTCAATCATAAATTGGGTGAATTTGTCGGTAATTTTATTTATTTATTTATTTTAATAATTTCTAGAAACTGAAGACTATAAATAATATAAACTAAAAAATAGTAAACCATAAAGATTAGTAGTTAGCCTAATATTGGACACTTTTAATTTCTTCCCATGGTGAGTTCACAAAATCAACCACCAAAAAATGGTTGTTAATACCTAATATTTAGAAAATAAATGGGAAATAGTCAAGATGAGTGTTTTCCAACTTCTGACATGAAAGCAGTAGAAGCCTAACCCTGAACTTCAAAACTACATATCAACTAGGGAAAGAACAAATGATTTCAAACATTTGAAATTCATATTCTAACATTCAATTAAAACTTCAGATATGGGAATTCAAACGCAGCCAATAATATATCCAACTCAACAACTATCATTAATCTTTAGAATCCATGACTAAACATACACTAGTAAATGAATAACATACATAGTCTATGAGGTGTTCAATGCCTCTATGAAACTCAATGCATTCTACTAATTTTTGTTTTTTTGATAAATGAATGTATTATAAACAAAGTACCAAAGAGGCCACAAGCAGTGAACAAACAGAGGGGCACCAAACTAAGCTTTTCTTAATCAAGTCAACTCACCTATAAGATCAACAAATGTGTATCAACATTCCAAAAAGAGTGGTGATGCATCATCCAAAATTCGGATGTATCCAACTGCATTTATGTGAGTGGTGATCACGATGATCCACACTCAGCTTTCGGACGCTTTATCATTTTCCTTCAAGAAAACTTCTAAAATTCCAAAAAACTAGAGAGGAAGGAGGGGAACAATAATAAATTTTCAATGCAGCAGCAGCAGCAGCAGCAGCATTGGAAATCATTCATTAATGGTTTAAAGATAGGGACAGCAGTGCAACACAAAATGTTAATTTAGCCTAAGCATCAAAATTTCTACACTACAAAACTGTTCAACTATGACCTGAACCCTGCTCCCAAACAAAACAAGAAACATCTCTACCAGCATGTCACTTTTACCAAAAGAACATAATTAAAGAGATGAACAAAGATATCTAGAAAAAAGATAAATTAACATATCTAAAAGCATCTATGCTCAAGTAAGCTACAGACCACAGACAAAATTAATGATCTTCAATAGGGCACTAAATTCATTTGCTTCGCTAGTTACTACTAATTCTCTCTATACTCACTTGGTACTGATTCTTTGTCATTGCCATCCACTGATTCTTTCTCTGTCCTAGATACTGGTTCGTTCTCCGTCTCCATCAAAACATCATCCAGGTTTTCTTCAATCTTATCGCCAACCTTGTCAACTTTTTCCCGCAATTCAAAAGCCTCTTTGTCAGTCAAAATATCCATAGCCACATTTTCAACACCAATTTCCGCTCCTGGAGATGTCTCCATATCTAGGTTCTCGTCTGCAGTTTTATCATCTTCCATGTCACTCTTGTCAGAGCTAATCTCATTTTCCAGAGAGTGAGGAGAGTGCTCACCAACAATTTCAGTTCTCACATTTGCTTCTACCATATTGACATCTGACTCAGGAGGACGCTGCTGTATTGGTATTGCGTCACTAATAAATTGCTCCAACCTCAATCTCTCCCTGTAATCTTCCATTTCTATCTTGTATCGTTCTTTATCCTTCATAGCTTTATCCTGATAAACCTAAATTCAACAAAAACCAAACATGATAAAAAAGTTGGTTATAATTGAAGTAAAAAAGAAATAAATAAATAATAGCATTGCTATACATGACAGACATGGTATTTTTGTTTATACCACTTTTTCAGATTCTTCCATTTTGGTCCACAGTTCACCTATCATCCTACTGATCTCTCTGTCTTTCCCTGGATGAAGTGGTTTCAGCCTCGCATGCTGCTCTGCGAAGAAGAAATTGTACCCGCTTCTGTTAGGTTTTGGATGAGCAGGGTCCCTTTTCCTCATCTCAGATTTCTTCCTACGCCTGCGACGGAGCACACCTGATGATGCAGTCTTGTTTTCAGTATCATTGGCAGACACATTTTGATGTTGTGGCACTTCAAGTGCTGGGTTCTGCAGAGCCTGATAAAGGACACCTTTTAGCTTCTCTGAGCCAATTGTGACAGTAACAAGATATCCACTTTCGAATTTCCCATCGATGACCCCAATCACTGGAGAACCTGTCAGTGGTACTGGTCCTGCTGGAGTATCTGCTACCTTAAACGGCGGAAGTGCATTGCTTAGTTACCCATAGGACATAGTTATAAATTGAACAGTAGAAGCATAAACCAGAAATGCAATCAAAATACATATATGGGAATAAAACATATAAGAAGGAACGTGGTTAGTAAACAAATGAAATTCTGATGGGCGAACAAACAGAATCACAAGGTTGTAGAAACCTATGTATTAGGATTTAGGAAGCATCGCCTGAAGTACCATTTTGTTGGAACAAGTATAAGAACAGAAAAGAAAACTTGGAGAATTTAATAACATGTTATAAATTCAAAAGGTTTCTACTTCTCTTTTTTCTTCACCTTCAAAAGGGCATAATTCAGTGAATTCCTACCTTATCTTGCAAACATTTCAAAACTTTTTAACGCAAAATTCATGAACAGAAAAGTTTTTGTTTCCCGTGCTATACTCGGATATTTTAAGAAGTTTCATCCAACTCCTAAGCACCTGAAAGGCTTTCCCATGTAACTATCTTATAAAGCATTACAAGTAAAATAATTCCAGCTGCAAATTTCTAGAAGACACAAGGGATCAAACAATCATGTATTAAAACTAATGTTACACAGACTTGAATCAAGGTATGTTGGCTGAGAATGTGTGTCCACCAAATTTCCAAACCCAGGGACAAGGACACGGCTAAAAATCTTTTTAGTATTGTTTTTTCTAAAGTAGCATGATATTTTTTTTTGTCAAATATAAGTGTTCACTTAAAACTTGTTCCGACACAATAACGTGACAAACACAGAATGATAAGAGTTTTACGTAGAATTATCATAAAGCTTTTCAATGGTGCGTGTCCAACCAGACACCTACTCCACACCCATACCTGTGTGACACTAGATTTAAACTTCATTTTTCACAAGGGAGTACAATGCATGACTACACCAAGCAAATGTTTTTATCTTAGAAGAAGAAGAAGACCTCCAGGCAAGGATTCTGGTGTTTGATGCGTTCCACCTGTTTGAGTATCTGGTAATTGCAGCATAGGTTCACCCGAACCATGAGCTGGAACTGGTGCTACGGATGGACTTTGCAAAGCATCTGCAAAAGATTTTTCTTGATTATTTGTGAATATATCCATCAAATTATAAGTGGAAGAGTTAAAAAAGTTCTCTGCACGTACCAGCAGATACTGGAGTCCAACCCTTGGCCTTAAAAAAGTAAATCTGCTCATAGTGGTGAAGCAATGAAATATAGTACTTGCGCAGCACAAAAGAAGCATTTGTAGCTGTGGAGGGGAAGCTGAAAACATTAGTTACTTCTTTCCATCTTCTCTCTCTAACAGTCTGTGAATTCAAATTAGAAAGCAACTGGTTACTAGGCAACCCCCTGTTAGGTAAATGTTAACAAAAATTACTACATACTTTATTTAAGTCTTCCATCTTTACTGTGTCATTGAACCATTTCTCCCACTAACAACCAGAAGAAAATAATAAAAGGACAAGAAAGAAATGAGAAAAATAGCATCTACATACTTTATCGGATTGAATTTCCACAATAAAATAATATTACAGAATTTAATAATCTGTTTTGGTTGCAAAGAAATTAAGAAAACAAGAAAATTATATGCAGTCTTACTCCCACCATTGCAACACGGATTGGAAATAAATTCAGGAATCTTCAAGTCCACTTCAAAAAATTAAATTACTGATACTGTCACTTTCTTTTTATTATTATTATTATTATTTTTTAAAAAAAATAAAAATAAAATTTCACTTGATTTGCAACTCATAGGAATGGTTTACTTTTTTTTTCCCTTGCAATCTCCTTAGCTTTTTGCAACTTCATCATTGTAAGTTCTGCTCGTAAACTTTGCAAGCAACTTTGATTTCTAGAGTTACTAGCAATTTGTCATGAATGCAACACGAAATAAATTTCTTCCAGGAACGGTGATGATAACTTTGCTACGAAGCACATTAAAATGAAAATTTCTTCAAGAAAATGTCTCAAAAGATTATGATGTACAACACTTTAATGGCAAAAGCATAAGGCATTATTCCTCCTGTGAGCCAAGGCTAAGCCTCAAGGAAAAACTGCATAAAGCATTTTCAACTTATTGTTTTTGAAAGAGTGCTTTCGGTTTCAAGTAAAAAAGAAGTGTCAAAAGGAAATCATAAAACACACAATAAAATTCTCTAAACAAACACAGCTCAGTGTTTCAATCCTTTTGATGCTAATATTAGCTAGTCTCTCAAATCAAGAATATTATGAAAACTGTAAGTGTAGAATTTCTAATGTTTGAAATAGAGATGCACAGATATAAAATGACCAGAATAGAGCAAACTCAAAAGATATTAACTTGAAGATTCCAATAAACCAATCAACAATATACCTTTTCAATACCACCACGAGAAGTTACCTCCACAAAAAGCCGATGCAAGTCCAGGTCCTTCCCTCCTATAATGGGAATCCTTCGTAGGCATATGACATAAAACAATATAAGTGTCACCCGCAAGGAGAAATTCCAGGAAAAGTGTGCATAAATTGCAAAGAGAAATAAGATGCATGTTCTTATTGATAATAGCAATATAGCATAGTTTACTGGAAGTTATATATGAAATACACAAGCATTTTCAAGCTTCATCAGGGCAACAACTCAGTACCTTGCCACATAATTTTTTTTTTTTTTTTTGAGGAGGTAACCGAAGAATCAACCCACCCCCTAGCCACTTTGGACTCTTGAAGCCCGCAAACCACAGGCATCATTTAAGTCCAGGCCTCACCTGACTTGAACCAGGCGACCTAAAAGAAGTATCCCAAAGCCTTACCAGTCGAGCTGCCCGTGTGGGACAAACCACTCAGATATTATTATTGCTGAAACTTTTTAATTTTCTTGGTAAATGCCTAACCCCATGTTAAGCATGGATTTGAAAATACCCTATAGGATAGCCTATCCTGATCCAGGCAAGCCAAAGAATTGAGGCCAAACAGGATATGTTACACTTCCAAAAGAGGTGATAAATCAAGTTATTTAGCATTCCAGGCACATATAAACGAATTTAAAATTTGTTTTTCTTTGTCTTCTTCGGAGTTTAACAATGAGCTCTCCATCAGCATCTCAAGCCCGAGAAATAATAAATTTATATTTAGAAGACAATGATAGAGACGAAATGATTCATGTGTTCAAAATGCTAGACTCTGCCCCATACCTTCTGAATCCTGAAAGACATTTGGAAAATAAGCATCTTTGAGAAGCTTTGACGAATTCAAAAATTCCAGACCATGGTGAATGAATATGAAAGAAAAACACAGGCCACAAACCACAAACAACATGCAAACACACACTAAGCGCACGTGCGCACACACACATTACTCATTTTTCACTTAGAGGTGCCATTAGTAAAAAAATGTTTGCTAAAGTCCCTTCAATAAGATTTTAAAATACTTGAATATATTCATTCAGTCCAAACATTAAAGAATAAATGTAAAATGGCCACCAAGAAAACAAGTGAACAAAATTTCCAAAAATAATTTTAAAAAAGTGCATACCAAAGGTACTATTCATGGATTTTCACAACTGAAAAGTAATCCATTTCTCAGTATATAAACCTTGATTTTCAAAGTTCTGAAATTCCATATATTTGATGAGAGGAAGGTTCATATAAAACCAAAAAAAAATTACGTTATTAGATTAATCTTACATGAACTTGGTCCCCATAGCAGCATGAAGCTTCTCCAAAGTAGTCATGAAGAGTTTGGGAGAGGCTACAACATCTTCATACTTGGCCATAGGTGCTTGGTATGGTTGATAGTTTGAGGGTGCTTCTCTCATGGTCAATGGGCTCTGGTTAGCAGCAGAAGATGATGCCATTCCTGACTTCGCAGCAGCAGCAGCACCACCACCACCACCACCTCCCTCTGTCTCAACCATCACCCACTCTACTATTTACCTGCCCTTCACTGCACACACACACACAAACAAACAAAAACCAGAAAGAAAAAAAAAAAAAAAAAAAAATTATATATATAGATAAATCACAAGAGGAAGAATGGTTGAAAATCATCAAAAATAAAGCACTTTATAGGTGGATTTAATTAAATGCAGGTGAAGGAAAGAGCAAATAAGACAAATTCATAAAACTCATCAAAGAAAACTGCCATGGAAATGATGAGAGGAACCAAACAGTCAATGGATGCAGACAGAACAGAAAGTGGAAAGGAAAGTAATGAAAAAGTAGAAAAAGAAAAGCAATGAACAAAAATATATCACCATGCATGAGCAAGAAAGGACAAGGATCATCAGAATCACCTTGATATGATGAAAATTATTGAAGATAAATCTAAAAATACAACCACCCTTCTTGTTGAACTATAACTCCTGCTACAACCAAAGGGATATACATCCAAACCCCAAGAAAAAGCAGGCAATAGTACAACATAGCTGTCTTAGCCATGAATTCCATCACAGTAACAAAGATGGAACAGATAGAAACCCTTCAGGTAATGTGAATAAAGGGAGCCCCAGATGTACAATGTGAACTGGTGTTTACAGGTCTATAAGAGCTATATAATCTTTCCCTGACATTCTAAAGATTGACCCCTAATAGGTATCATATTATATTACAGTACTATATACATATTAATAACAAAGTTCCAAGACTCCTTTTTCCCCTTCTCTGTTTCAGGGTACAAGATTTAGAAGATACCATGGTGGGTCCTGTGAGAGGCCATTCTCATCAATCAAGAAAAGTCCTCTCAAAACAAATTAAATACACAAATTAAAAATTAAAAATTAAAATAAATAAAATATGAAACAAATCACAACACAATGCATCGATGAATGTTTCTTATATTGTTATTATTTTAATTGCATTTCTGAGTGTGTGTTTGTATATATATATATATATATGTATGTATATATTGTTATTTGTTATTTATCTCAGATATATATGAATTTATGTATAAAAGATAATATAATGATATATAATGACTTTTTGGAGCATATAATACAAAACCCAGATAAAGAAATGACAGTAGCAGTGTTTAAAATAAAGACATATACTTACCAACGGAGAGAGTTGTATACAAAACAAATATGAAATGACATCAAAAGATGAAGCTTAAGACTAACCCTTAAAAGGGTTGATTTTTTTCTTTTACTATTGTTTATAAGGTTGGGTTTTATTTTTATGTTGCAGAAATGAAAAGTAAACCTAAAAATTACATACCCATCATGGAAAGATAATTATGCCCTCTCTCTGTTACACCCCAATTTCAGAAACTCAGGGGTAGAGATGGGTTTATACATACTATTGGCATGTATGATGAAAATGGTGAAGAAATGAAAAGCCATATTGGAATGACAATTATGCCCTCTCTCGGTTTTACTACAATTTCACCTGATCAAGGGTAGATATGGGTTTCTACATTCTATTGGCATAACTCAAGAGTCCCCCATTTGTCACAAAGAAGATTTGAGAGGTGCCCAAATCATCAGCCTATATAAAGATCTATATTTATATTAAGATGTATTATATATGGACACACAATTTAGCAAAATCTAAAATTGTAACGCTTCATTCTCTCTCTGTATATATATATATATATTATATATATATATATAGACTGTTGGGATGAGAACCAAAAGTGGTTTGAGAGATGGGTGCCGTAACAGATGCTCTTTTTATTTAATACACATTTAAACCTTAGAACAAGTCTCAACCCCTCTCTCTCTCTCTCTCTCTCTCTCTCTAAACGTATTAACTCCTTCTCTCTCTAAACGTATTAACTCCTTATTAAGTTTATTTAGTTACACCTCTTTTTATATCGTCACCGACCTTTTTGTCTGCTAATTAATTAAGGGCATGTACATGAAGTTATTTTTTGAAGGCAAGTATAATAAGTTTTTTTTTTTTATGAAGAGTTAACCTAATTAATTAAGAGAGACACTATTCGCACTCCACTTTTCTATGTTTACACTATAATTTTATATAGAATGACAATTATATCATTCACTTTACAAATAAATAATTATTACTGTCCTTTCAGATTTTGTCTCCTTATCTCTAATATTTAATATTTTAAGTTTCTTTTGGCAAGATTAAAAAAAAAAAAATCAAATAATATTTTGTTTCGATGACAAAAAAAAAAATATGTTGGATAAATTCTCTTTTGGCAGGACCCAAAAAAATATATATATCTCTTTTTACAATATATATATATATATATATATATATATATATTGAAGAAATTATCTCTTTTGTTAAGACCAAAACAAAAAAGTACGAAAAAAGAGGATTAAAAAATATATATATCTCTATTGAATAAATTATCTTTTTTGATAAAACCCAAAAGAATATTTATATATTTCTATTGAATAAATTATTTCTTTTAACGGGACCAATAAAAAATCACAAAAAAAAAGTTACCTCTTTTGACCGGACTGAAAAAAAAAAAAAAAAAGAAGAAGTTTACTTCGTTGAATAAATTACATATTTTAATTGCACAAAAAAAAAGAAAAAGAAAAAAAAAAAGAAGTCTATTGAATAAATTATCTCTTTTGACTGCCAAAAATAAAATTATCAATATGAAATAAATTATCTTTTTTGAGAAGACCTTCGAAAAGAAAAGAAAGTATAGCACTGGGAAAAAAAATAGTAAAGGAACTAAAGAAGGTAAAAAAAAAAAAAAAAAAAATTGTATAAAGGATAGTTATGATATAATAAAATAAGGTATAATACATTAATGAATTCAATGACCTTCTTGTCATTTTCTTTAAAAGAAAAAGTTAAGCGTAGTGCAATTAGAAAAAATTGGAGTGGGAATATCCTCTCCCTTAATTAAAATCATATATATATATATATATATATATATATATATATATATATATATATATATATATAATTATAAATAGATAAGAACCATTTGCATTTAATTAATACATGAGTCCCCACTTGCATGTAATTAATGACTTTAATACTTTATTATAATTATTATTTTATATATATATAATATAATATATATTCCAATATATAGTAATTTTATGTGTAAAATTCTGAATGGTGCGTATATTTTTTCTTCTTTTCTAAGAATTCAAAGTAGGAATGGGAATGTGCATTAATGTCTTTAAAACGACATATCAACAAATTTTCTGGTATTAGAGTATTTTCCTGGCATTTTTTTTATATCTGATGTGCAAAATTATTAAACATTTGTTTATACTTTTATCGTGAACTTGTTCTGGATTAAATATAATAAAAAAAAATTATGCATATCGGGCGACCTAATCTGGTTCGCCAAATTAATAAAATCCAATGCAAAAAGTAGCGCAACAACTTGTAAGTTTAGAATAGCCTAAACCCAACCCAAGCCGAATGAATTGAGTTAGGTTTGGGCCCAAGTATTTAGATGATATTTATGCTATATTGCTATCCAACCCAAAAGATAAATGCTTGAATTGAGCTATGCTGTTTTGGGCCAGTCCCAAGCTGGCATACTGCCATTTAAATGGACTTGGATCCTCCCTTGTGAATGAGAAGAGATCTGTCTTCTCATTGAATTACGGGAGACAAAATTTGGCACGATAAATCAATACGATTTGAACATGACACGAGTTAAATGGATTTAAATTTATGTTAAATGAATTCGAATCGTAGATGGGTGTTTAACCCGTGTAGTCTATTTGGAACTTATATTTTTTTTAATATTTAATATTAGGTTGAATATTATTAATAATATAATGTCTCGTTTTAGTAAATATGTTATTAAACGGGTTGCATATATAACTCTTTTAATAAATAAGTTAGGTTAGTATTAAGAGTTCTTGACATAATTATTAAACTGATTGTATTTGGTTTGAACTAGTATAATATTCTTCTATCAACACGACACGATTATGACTTTTGAACACAAATTGTCAATCCTAAATTAAATTCACTTTCAAATACACTATGTATAGCTCTCATGTAAGGTCAATCAAAAAAAAAAAAATTGTTTATTATTTTATGAACCGACCGATAAAGTTCGAAAATTTTAGCTGTGATTTTCCATGAGAATGAAGACCAAAAAAAAAAAAAAAACTAAGAAAAATATTTGAGAGAGTATTAATCCATTTCTGAAATAGATGAAGATCTTTTGAGAACTTATTTTCCATTCTTAATACTTCACTAATGATCCTTTCCATAACACCCATAAAATGTTGTGAACCGGATAACATTCAGGCCTCATCTTCTAAAATCAGTTTTAAAATATCTTATAGCCTATGTGTTGTGTCTACTCGTATGGATCAATATGAACACTTCCAGGATTATATTTATATCAAGAAATTTTTATACAAATACGATTATTAAATAGGTAGTGATTTTTTTTTTTTTTTTCCCATATTAAATAGGTAGTTTACATGACTTGTGTAGCTTATTTAATTAATTCGTCAACAATCTAATTAAATTTCGTAATATTTTTTACAAAGGTCAAAAAATTAGATCGTGAACATGTTTAATTACAATAGTGGCTTGGAATCACTATAACTAAATTATAAGAGAATTGTTGTGTCAAACAAAAACACAATAAGTATAATTAACATGTCAATTCAAGTAATGATACAAACACATTAAGAACATTGTGGGCTAGTATTATCCCAAAATAGTTGTCAATTTAAAAAGTCAAATAAAAAAAATAATGTTATATTTTTATCATTATCTTTTAAGTTTTAAAAAAGTCTTTCAACTAAGTAATATACATCTTTAAACTTAAAAGAATAAGTTAGAAATTTTAATAAAGAACAATGCCATTTAAATGTGTCCTCTTCAAAACTTCTAATTATCCAAGATGGAGAAAAAAAATATCAATTCATATTAAACCATGAAGTTATGGGCCAGCAATCTATATGTTAATGGTGTATCTTTGTGATTTGTGAACAATAAAAGAGGTTATGTGATTTGTGAACAATAAAAGAGGTTAGAGGAAACCCTGTTTTAAAAGCAATGCTACACAAAACCATGTTATTCTATTCTGTGCTCTCTTTTTTTATTATTATTATTTTTTTATTATTTAAGAGTGGTAATATATTAGAGAGAAAAGGCCAATAAAAGACCTTTATTTTATAGAGAATTTGGAGAAATGATGTTTTATTAATGGGTTTTTTACACTAATTAGTGTAGGAATGTACAACTTTTATATAAATTCTATTACTTATCAATGGCAGATTTAATTATTGAGCTGACATTTCCATTTGTATCACAGCGCCACCTATCATTATTTCATGTCTCATACTTCTATCACGATGAGTCATTAATTTATCGTTGTAGAAGTTCTAGCAGAACTCACAACAACATGCTTTCGTCATGACGAATGCATTAATTTATCATTGCACAACTATCTGGATTCAAGCAAACAGTACAATAATATGGACAAAAATGTTTTCTAGTTTACTAACCAATGCAAGTCGGTCTCACTGTTTCTGGCCAAGGTCTCTCGCCAAACTTTTTGGTGGCCCTCACCATCACTTCGAGCTTGTTGGATACAAATGTCTATTATCCTATTTATAGACCTAATTCTAAAATTTTATACAGTCCTAATTACTTACAACACAAAATTCTCTATTATTTTAGAATTTTCTACCATCTACAATGATGCACAATTTCTCCAATATTTTGGTTATAATCTTTCAACTCTCTCTAACAAACTAACACTATATTTCTTTATGTAAATATAGAGTCTCAATCTATTACAATTCTTCCAGATATCATGAATATGTGCCAATGACAATGTATTATTTGGAAAAAAACTTGGCTCACTTATTTATAAATTTGTTAATAACAAAATAAAAATATGTTATATTTGATTGAATGGATATACAAATACCATGTTATGCTGTTAAAAAAAATATTCCAATAATAATTTCCACCCAAATTTGCAAGTTGCAACGCTCTCATTGCGGCTCGAGCTACCCTGCCTACCTCGACTGCAAACTCGGACTACTTCCGAGTAGGGCACTTGGCGTGACATCAGATCAAGAACTGGGTCTTGCCCTAATACCAACTGCAACGGGTGGATGTTTGCCCATTTACCTAAAAGCTCAAGTTGTTGGGTAGTATTACATACCAATCCATTTGCACTCAATCACTTTCCCTTCCGAATACGATGTGGGACAAATGACCTTTGTTACAGCATTCATGCACAACTTCTTCTTCGATTAACAATATGGGCCTCATAACCGCGCGGGCCAACCCAAACCAAACCAATTGAGTTGGGTTGGGCTTTAAGTATTTAGAAGATGCTTATGCTATATTGCTCTCCAACCCAATAAGATAAATATTTGAATTGAGCTGAGGTGTTTTGGGCCGGTGTCAGACTGACATACTAGAAAAATATTGATTGATTTCTTAAATAGATGAGATCTTTCAACAATTTATTTTCCATTCCAAATACTTCGAGAATGTTCCTTTTTACATAACACATAAAATGTTGTGAACTGAAAATCATTCAAGCTTGTATCAATACCAACACCGCACGATTACATTCATATTAAGAAATTTTGATACTAACACAACATAATTATTAAATAGGTAATTATATATAACTTGTGCAAGTTGTTTAATGAGTCAAAACTTAAAAATGAATAATCTAATTAAAGTCCATAATATTTTTATAAGGATTGACAAGTTAGCACATCAAACACAAATTCAATGAGTTAATTAGGATGTTCACAAATTCAATGAATTGACGAAAAAAAATAATAATAAATAAATAAATGTAACTAACATTTCAATTTGAGTCAATACAATTATAATTCAAACACAATTAAATTATATTCAAATTCATTTCTCATATGTTGTGTTTGACTCATATCAATGTGTGGTATCTCACTCTCGTTGTGATTGTTGAGCTTCTCCTACTTGCCAATATAGACTAAAACTAACTAGTATACTTCAAGAATTTGTTCCAAATCTAAATCACACATCACTTTTTTTTTTTTTCTTTTTCTTTTTCTTTTTTTCCATGTAAGATTAAGTGTCACACATCACACTTTCATATTTTGATTAATTTTAAAAAGTAAAAGGTGAAGATAGCAACGTAAGATACGAGCACAAAAGAATAACTTCATGATGAAAAAGAATATCAGTTAATTATGTTAATGGAAATTAATTAAATAGTAATTTCATCATGTGTACTTGTGAACAGTAAAAGAAGTTAGAGGAAACTCATTGGTCTAAAAGCAATGGCTACACAAAACCATGTTAATGTACCATTTTCCTTTCGGTTCGAGTGCTTAGATTACAAGTTATTCTATTTTATGCCTTTCTTTTTCAAAGAGAATATATAACGATTCACATAATTAGTGTTCGAAGAAAAAGACGATAAGAAACATCTGTTTAATCATGAAAAAGAAAAAGTTACCATATGGGGCATCTTGTACCACTAGTTCCAATAACATGGTGGGTGCATTCACATTGTCACTTCACATTCCAGATATTTTAACTAAGAAAAATTAATAATAAAGATTGCGAATTTTTTTATTATACTAAGTCTTTGTTTGGATGTAAGATATTATTTTTAGAATTTTTTTTTTCCTTTTTAAGATAAAATTTTTTTATTTTAAATTTTTGAATATTTGATAAATGTCTAGATCGAGTTGATCCGACGAGTGTTTAAAATGATAAATTATTTTTATTAAATTTTAATATATTTTTTTTCTTAGTAAATCTTTTACAACAATCAAACACCAAAAAATAAAATAAAAATATTTTACATTCAAATAAACAGAGCTCCCTTTGTCCATATTTACGAATGGTTTACTTGATGAGATTTCTTAAACGAAGTGCTTAGTAATTTATATATATATATATATATATATATATATATATATATATATATATATATATATATATATATATATATATATATATATATATATATATATCGTCAGCTACCTCAAACCATGCATGCAAATTAGTTGGGAGATCAAAATGGCCTCAGAAATTGTAATAAATGAAGAAATGCCTGAAGAGGTAGCCCATGAGGTCCATGATGAGTTGTTTGAAATTGCCATGAAAGGCCATTGGGACAAAGTAGTGGAGGTCTATCAGAAGAGCTCAAAGGCTCAAACGGCCAAGCTCACCAAATCAGAAGACACGGCTCTCCACTTAGCTGTCTCAGATGGCTACACAGACATTGTTGTCAAGCTAGTTGATAGCATTCCTGTAGATGAAGCTTCCAACATCCTTGAAATCAAGAATGAAGGCGGCAACACCCCTCTCCATATTGCGGTGATAGTTGGGAATGAGGATATGTGTATGTGCATTGCCCTCAAACACCGGAATCTAATCATAGCTCGTAACGCGGAGAGCGAGACACCTCTCTTCTTGGTAGCCCATCTTGGGAACTGGTGAGGCTATATCCTCATTATGCTAACAAGCTCAGTATTCTTGTAAATGCATTTTAATATCCTTCATTAAATTGATAGTTTTCTTATTGTAGGATGCTACTAAAGAACAATTAGAAAGCTACTGTACGTAGATGATGATAATGTTTAGACTGTTTGATTTAGGCTATCACTATATATTTATTTTTTTGTTTATGAGTTGAGAAGGGTTGAAAGTTAGATCAGTAGATATAAAGAGTCGAAACTTGGCACTCCAAAATCAACTGAAAGTATTAACTCACTAGACTATCGAGTCATCTGTCAATGTTAGAAATTGAATGTGGTATCTAAGTCAGTTCAATAATAAAGAATTTAAAAAAATGATGTTTATTTAATGATTTTTTTACCGTTATTATCTAAGTTGGGCAATGTCTCAAATTTTATATAAATTATATCCCTTATCAAACATGCCGATTGAATAGTTCAGAAATTTTTGTTAGTGAATAAATTTTAGCATTTCTTTGCTTTAGTAGCACCGCGGCCACTTATCGTTATTTCGCGATCTCATACTTCTATAATGGATAAGGGAGTTAATCTCGTTGTAGAACAATATGGACAAAAATATTCATATAGATAATTTCTAGTTCACTGAGCAATGCAAGCATGTCAACAATTAGTGTCACTGTTTCTGGCCAAGGTGCCTTGCCAAACTTTGTGGTGGCACTCACCATTACTTTGAGCTTGTTGGATACACGTCTATTCTCCTATTTATAGATCTTACTCTCTAAAATTTTATACATAAATGACCTAACTACTTACAGTACAAAATTACCTATTGTTTTTGAATTTCCTACCGTCTACAATGATGTATACCAGCAGAGTTGTGGCCTAGCGGTATCAAGTCTTTACTTTTCAAAAAAAAGTCAGAAATTCAAATCTTAATGAAGACATATATGGTTGTGTGAATATCAATTAAGGAAAAAAAAAAAAAAAAAATGATGTGCAATTTTTCTAATATATTAATTAGATTCTTTCAACTCTCTCTAGCACTCTATATTATACAACTCTAAAAGTCTCAATCTCTAACAACTCTTCACATATATGGTGAATATTCATCCAATAACATTGCATTTTTTTTAAAAAAGTTGGCTCACTTATTTATAAATTTGTTAATAATGAGATAATAATATATTATATTTAATTGAGTGGGTATGTAAATAACATGTTGTGCAAGGTATATATACTCTCATTTATGCACTGCTAGCTGTTCCAAAAAATTCTAAAAAATTGTGCCCATGACTCAATAGGGCAGCCATGCACAACTTCTTCTTCAATTAACATTATGGGCCTCATAACCACGCGGGCCAACCCAAACCAAACTAATTGAGTTGGGTTTGGGCTTAAGTATTTAGAAGATGTTTATGCTATATTGCTCTCCAACCCAATAAGATAAATGTTTGAATTTCGCTAAGCTGTTTTGGGCCAATCTCATGCTGACATACTAGAAAAATATTGATTGATTTCTTAAATAGATGAGATCTTTTAACAATTTATTTTCCATTCCAAATACTTCGAGAATGTTCCTTTTTCATAACACACTTAAACTGTTGTGAATCATTCAATTCCAACACCATAAGTATACATTCATATCAAATAATATTAATTAGAACATAACATAATTATTAAATAGGTAACTATTTATTGTTTAAAAAATGAGTTATTACCTGAAAATACATAATCTAATTTAATTCTATAATATTTTTGTAAGGGTTGACAAGTTAGCACGTCAAACACAAATTCAATGAGTTAATTAGAATGTTCAAAAATTCAATGAGTTGAGGGGCAAACACAAAAAGTGTAACTAACATTTCAATTTGAGTCAATACAGTTACAATTCAAACATGATGGAATTAGATTCAAAGTTATTTAGGGTAAAGTGCAAAAAAAAGACCCTAAATTATATCGGAATTTGCAAATAACTCTCCTGAAATATATTTTGTGCATATTACCCTCTGAACTATATCACATTTAGTTACAAAATGCCCCAATGCCTTGACTATATTTCATTAAATGACCATAATGCCCTTTATTATTAAATTACACTTAATTTATTTTTCTTATTGAAATAAATTATGAAAAAAAATCATACTAATTTGATGACATATTTTTCATTAAATTTGTATAAATTTACCTTTAATTTTTGAAATTAATTCTTTAAATAAAAATCTTAAGTAAAAAAAAAAAAAAAAATTAAAACAATATAAGTAATTTCTTAAATTTTCATGAATATATTGCATAAAAAAAAGGTATTTTGTATTTAAGTAATTTATTATTTTTTTTTTCCTAGTTGGTACTTATACACACTTATCTCTTCTGAGACTTGAACCTTGACCTCCCTTTGGGAAGTAAGAGGCTGATACCGCTAAGTCACTGGCCCGTTGATAAATTTTTCATGAATATATTGCATAAAAAAGAAGGTATTTTGTATTTAAGTAATTTATTAATTTTTCATGAATATATTGTATGAAAAATAAGGTACTTTTTATGGTAAAAAGTTTGAAGTGAGAATAATAAATTTTATTATAAATAGTAAAGCTTTAATAATAAATTAATCATTTTATAAAATTGTACAATATATAACTTGTACATGTTGTTTAAAAAATGAGTCAACAATTAAAAATGAATAATCTAATTAAATTCCATAATATTTTTAAGGGATGATGAATTAGCACACGTTAAACACAAATTCATTTAGTTAATTAAAATGTTCACAAATTCAATGAATTGACTAGCAAAAAAAAAAAAATTGTGTAACTAACATTTCAATTTGAGTCAATATAATTACAATTCAAACACAATTAAATTAGATTCGAATTCATTTATTATATGTTGTGTTTGACCCATATCAATGTGTGGTATCTTACTCTCATTGTGATTATTGAGCTTGTCTCTTCCTTGCTGATATAGACTAAAACTAACTAATTCTCTCTAGAATATACTTCAAGAATTTGTTCCAAATCAAAATCACACATCACTTTTTTTTTCTTTTCCCTTTTTTTCCATGTAAGGTTAAGTGTCACACATCACACTTTCATATTTTGATTAATTTAAAAAAGTAAAAGGTAAATGTGGAGGGAAAAAATTCCCCCTTCCAATAATCATCATCCACGTCATCACATTACAAAATTGATTCAGATGCCACAATAGCCTAATCGGCACCAAGCCTAAATCGGATCAGCCCAGTCCAGAGCAAGCCCAGTCAAGGCCTCGACTCCCACATCGATCGCAGACCAGAACCACCTGCCTAGCTTCTAAGTCCAGGTAGTGACAGCCCATCGTACTAATAGTAAGATCCAAACCCATCAACCGAATCATCAGGGCCAGCCCACGTTCAACCCAACCTTGATAAAGAGAAGTCATGTCCTGCTAGGCCAATGAATCACTAAAGAGAACAAGTTCTATACAAGGAAAATTCAACATAGAAAGAATTGTAGAAAGGAAAGGATTATAGATGTAAAGAAAATCATATATGGAATGAATTGAACGACAAGTAATGTGAATCCTACCAAAATTCCACCACTGTATTTCTTATAAATAGAGGCCTAGACCTCCAATAAAAGTATCAAGCAATTCTACGCTTCTCTATACACTGTTTTTATTTATTTTTATTATTTTTTGAGTGAGTTGTTTTATTTTTCTCAATCATTATTGGTTGAGCGAAATTTTGCACCTACATTTTTGCGCCGTCTGTGGAAACCGTATAGAAAGATACTCCCACTCTTTGTTTTAAGTTCTTTTTATTTTCGCGGTGCGGAATGTCAAACGGAGAATCAATGGCGGCAGATCAACAGATGAAGTTGATGCAAAAGATGCGAGAAGAGTTCTTGCACCAGTTCGAAACGCTTCGTCAGGCGAATGAAGCCAGCGTAGCCCAAATTACATTACTTCAACAGCAGAACGACACCCTTCAAACGGCTATGGCACAGCTGGCACCACAGCCACCGCTAGTTGACAGGGCTGCGCCTCTTCCCAACCAAAATGAACCCAGGGCAATGGGGTTCGGCCCAATGAAGTTCAGCCCCACCAGTTAACAGAGCTGCGCCCCCTCCCAATCAAAACGAGCCCCAGGTCAATGGGGCTCGGATTAGTGAAGTTCGGCCCACAGAAGTTCAGCAAGTCCAGAGGGCCAGATCCGAGGCGGTAGTTTCAGACAATCTTCCTCGTCACATGCAGGATGAACAGGCCGAATCCAGCCGTAAACTCACGGTATGGTCTAATGGTGTTCCAGATAGTGCAGGAGTAAAGGAGGCCTTTGACGAGAAAAAACTCTTGAGAGTTTAGACGCCTGCAGAGATGGCTAGGGAACATAAGAACTCACTCGTGAAGACTCATTTCATTGACGATGTGTACCTCGTTGAGAGACCTAAGAAATTCATTATGCCATCCTTTACCCAGTTTGATAGTACATGAGATCCTTCCCGGCACTTAGATCACTAAGCGCAAAAGATGGCTCTGGATGATCACAATGACCAATGGATGTGCAAAATCTTCCCTACCAGTCTAACTGGGGCTGCGCTGGAGTGGTTTAGGAATAGGCCGCACAAGTCTATTCTAGATTACGAAACTCTATGCGCTATGTTCCTAGCGCAATATTGCGGTAATAAGAAGCAAAAAAAGAGTATTGCTAGCCTTTTTACTATAAGGCAAAAGAAGGGCAAAACGCTGCAAGACTTCTTGTCTAGATTCAATATGGAGGCTTCGAAAATAGCAGATTGCCACCCTACTACCGCAATAGAAACATTCAAGCTCGCAATGATTCAGGGAACCAAGTTTCATACGTCCTTGATTAAGTATTCTCCTCCGGACATGCAAACTCTTAATGCTAGAGCACAGATCTACATCCAACTGGAAGAGAATGTGGCTCCCTGAGCTCAACATGTCACCCTCATCACGGTGGAGAACAAGCCTCAGGAAAAGGTTTCAAGTTCAAGATGCCGAAGAAGCCAGCACGCTTTGGCGCCAGCCATTCAAATACCCGAAAAATGGCAAAAGATAGAAGAAAGAATCACTCCCCTTCGCACAACCTTGGCCCGGTTATTTCAGGAGAACAAAATGAAGTTTGCAGCTCCTCAGCCAATAAGGCAACCGTTGGAACAGAGAGACAAGTCCAAGCACTGCGCTTACCATAGAGATTATGGGCATATGACCAATGATTGCAGATCCCTCAGGCGAAAGGTGGAAAACATGTTACTGAGGGGTGAATTGGCAGATTACCTTACAACAAAGGAGTACGTGAAGCCTCGGGAGACCAACCCTTGGAGTGTCGATGGTAATCAGGTGAAGGTCATCCATGCAATACATGGAAGATCAGAAGATGATCAGGAGTCAGATGAGGTTTATAGATCCCGACTGAGAATAACCCATAAGCTGAGGTTATCCTCAGTAAACACTATTGTCTCGAGAAGCATCAACATCAGGTTCGGCGATGGAGATTTATCCATAGTTCAACTTTCCCACGAAGATCCGTTAGTCATCAGTCTCTTGGTGGTGAATTGTATGATTAAGAGGGTTCTGATAGACCCATGGAGTAGTGCCAACATCATCGCAAAGACGGTCTTTGAACAGCTAGAGATCCCGTCATTATCAGTCCGGCCCACCTTCAGCCCGTTGATGGGGTTCGATGGTACAAAAGTTGATCCCCTTGGGGTGATTGATTTATCCGTAACTGCGGCAAAGAGGACTCTGAAGGAAAATTTTGTCTTAACAGAGATCCACCCTTCCTATAATCTTATTATGGGAAGAGGTTGGATCCACCGAATGAACGGAGTGTCGTCTACCCTTCACCAAGTGATGCGATGTTTGTCTCCAGACGGGAAAGAGGTCATAGATCTTAGGGGAGATCAAGTAGCCGCCAAAGAATACTACATGTTAACGCAAAATGAGGCAAAGAAGGTAGTGAAACAGTCCCAACCGATTACGCCTCCAGGAAGCAAATCCAAATAGCAATTACAGAATCCTCTGCCTAGGTATCTGAAGGCAGAGGATGAGGCCGAAGCGAAAAAGCCTACCGAGGAATCACTAGAAGCTGTCGAGGTAATCCTCGGCGATCCACGGAAAATCACTTACATGGGTTCTTCCCCCATAGCCGAAGAAAAAGAAGCATTAATCAAAGTCATTCGACGAAATGCAGACGCATTTGCTTAAGAGCATTCAGACATGGTGGGGATCGATCCTTCAGTCTCATGCCATAGCCTGAAGGTGGATCCGGCATTGTGATACCCCTCGGATCCGAGACACGGGTTGATCAGAACCAAGCCCAAACCCGAAAGATATCAAACAATTAATATGTAACCGAACACAGAATACAAGATGAGATAAATAATAACAATAAGCTGGAAGAATACTAATTGAAATCCTCAAAATATCATTAATGAAAACTATTAAATCCAAACTCCAAAAGTCCATAAGTTACAACTCGGGAATCCATTTAGTGGACCCTTTATTAAAATCCCAAAAGAAACTAAAATAACTGAAATAGAAACTTAAAGTAAACATAGAAAAGATTCCTACGTAGTCGGAGGAACGAATGTCTGTATCTGCTCTGCACGTCCAAGCTCTAACCCTGGAACTGAAGAACACTTGAAAAATAAGAGAGTGGGTCAGGCCCACATGCAAGTCCTATTCTACTACGATCCAAACAGTAATCCGATACGCAGATACATCCTAGGAAGGCTCAACAATATCTAGAGTAGTCCATATGTATATATATAATACACACTATAGAACGCTCACTAGTCCAGTAGGTCTGTCTCAGCCTGAGTAGAGATACCATGCAAATCGCACAATAATGCGGTCATGTGTACCTAGACCTACCGGGGAACAACACCTATGTCCAGTTATCCATCCTAGGCGATATACGCGCCCTAACCATGGTCCTGAGATTCAAACTCATACCATGGTACCATATAATAAGTATATAAAATCCGTACTCCTCATAATACAAAATACCACCCATCTGTGTAGTGGTCTAGTATATGTATAATCATCCGTCCTGAAACCATATTAAGTCATCCAACTATTTTGTTGACCTGACGCAAGTAGGTAATAGACTTAACCTATATGATTAATCCGTACCTTAATCCAAATTAGGTAGGACTTAGGGTTTGATCTAGTCTATACCTAGTATGTCACCGTCCCATACCGGTACATACGATCCTCCAGTTTACACGGTTGACCAAACAATGATAAATGCATATCAATTATACTCCAGAATAAGCACACATACAAATCTAATAAGTGTATGATCAAATTATATATCCAGTATATGATCTAGAAGTCACATTCTAGTCCTTTAAAATGTTAGAGTAAAATACAGCATCTAACTCCTCTAAAGCAGTACAATAACTGATGTAATTTATTGTAGATTTTAAACATCAATCATTTCCAATTAACCATACTTATTCATCATTTTTCCCAGATAAATAATTATATGATTACAACATAAGGAAGACATGATTAATAATTGTTAAGACATGTAAAGCATCCAAAACTCCTCAAAACAGAAAACAGTTTTAAGTTAATTAATTAATTAACCCTCCTTATACAGATTTCCTATTTAATCTTAGAATATATCATGCTTCCACATAATATCGTTAACATGCTTCCCAACAATTTATACATCTCTGGAATAAGTATACAGATCATCCATATCCCCGGAACCAACCTAGAAACCTTCCTACAGTCCAAACTGAAGGCAGAACGTGGAAAAATAAAAAAAACAAAAGAGGAGCCGGCTTCACTAAAAGTGGAGCCGCCTCCCCCCTTGGTGGAGCCACCTCCACCACAAATGGAGCCGGCTCTACCCCTTGTAGAGGCGGCTCCACCCTTGTGGTGAGTCGGCTCTACTCCCCTGTGACCCGTTTGCGCGTAGTTTGATCATCTTCTTCGCCTCTGGTGGGGTTCAGAGGCTCTGTACAACTTTAATAACTTATTCTAGAGTTCAATTGATGTCCTAGAATTAATTAAAATCATGCATTCATTCCAAGACTCTTAAGGCTAACAAGTTTAAAAAACCATGCAAATAGATTCTTAACAGAGCAACTTCCTACACACAAAACAGATTCATACAACGATTAACAGTCGATTCAACCATGCCTCCAAGATGATATTAACTTTAATTTAATCTGTTTTAATGCTTGATTAATCCCTGGAGTCTACTAGGAATGCACAGAACACGAATTAAAGGGAAGGAGAAGAATAGTGACTTGCCTTTGAGTTTCAGATTTTGAAACTGTAATCCTGTCTCTAAAGTTTCTGACAATGTCCTAGATTGCCGTCCCACTCCTCCGGTGCTCTTGGTTCAACCCAGAAGCAACCCCGTTCCTTTCTCCTTAAAGCTCCCTTTTAAACTCTCAGAACTCTCTCTCTGTTGCTCTCTGTGTATCTCTCTGTTTCCCAGTCGTGACTATGAGAACTAGGGTTTTGTTTCTAACCCTAAACCAACGTAGAATATGCATATATATAGACTTTTAAATTCTAACCCTAATCCTTATACAACTCGGCCCATTAAATAACCTAGGTTTAACAGTGCCGGCTACATGAACTTACGTAAAATTATAATAACAATGACTTAAATAAAGAAATAAAAACAACCATTAACAACCAATTAAATAATTAAAACAATTTAAACAATTAAAACAATTTAAATAATTAACAATTTACAAAATAATTAACAATTAAACAAAATACCCGCAATTAAATAATTAACACAACAAACAAGGAAAACAATTAATCAAAAAAAAAAAAACAATTAAATCAAAAATAAAATACCAGAAATATCCTTTTAAAAATTAGGGGTATTACAGGCATACAAACCAGTCAAACAGAAGCACAGAAGGTTTGCTCCAGAGCACAACCAAATTATAGCTGAAGAGGTAAGCAAATTACTTCAAGCAGGTTTCATCCGAGAGGTGTACTACCCACAATGGCTCTCCAACGTGGTGGTAGTTTAGAAGAAGAATAGCAAACGGAGGGTTTACATAGATTTCACCAATCTCAACAAAGCCTGCCCTAAAGACAGCTTTCCGTTACCCAAGATTGATCAAATGGTTGATGCCACTACTGGTTTCGAGAGGCTCACATTTCTTGATGCATACTCCGGCCATAACCAAATTCCTATGAATCCGAAGGATGAAGAGAAGACTGCTTTCATAACGAAGAAGGGCACCTACTGTTATAGAATAATGCCCTTCGGGCTAAAAAAAGCTGGAGCAACTTACTAGCGCCTTGTTAACAAGATCTTTGATGAAATACTGGGAAAGACGGTCGAGGCTTATATTGATGATATGGTGGTAAAGAGTGTGAAGAAGGAGGAGTATCCTGGACACCTCTAAGAGGGCTTTGATACTTTACGAAAATATGGCATGAAGTTAAATCCTTCGAAGTGTTCCTTCGCAATTTCTTCAGGATAGTTCCTCGACCATATCGTGAACAAAAGGGGAATTGAGGTAAGTCCGGCACAGGCTCAAGCCCTCATACAAAATCAAGAACCAAAGACACGCAGGGATGTACAAGTTCTAACAGTTCGAATCGCAGCTCTCAGTCGATTATTTCCCGATTGTCCGATAAGTGCAAACCATTCTTTGATGCAATAAGGTCCAAAAACAAAGACATATGGGGAACATAACAGCAAGATGCTCTTAATCAACTGAAATGTTACATGTCAAGACCTCCAATTCTGTCAGCTCCGAAGCCTGGTGAGGCTCTTATCATGTATTTAGCCATCTCCAGCATAGCTACAAGTGCTGTGTTAATCAGAGAAGAAGGTAAGAGTCAGTATCCAATTTTTTACACCAGCAAGACAATGATAGATGCAGAATCGTGGTACAGCAAAGCCGAGAAGATCATACTAGAGTTAGTATACGCCAAAAGGAAGCTTCGACACTACTTTGAGTCACACAGCATCAAAGTTCTTACCAATTACCCCATGCGAGTCATTCTTTCTAAACCGGATTTGTCCGGAAGAATAACTAAATGGATAATTGAGCTTAATTCTTTTGACATATACTATGAACCGAAGGAGTCGCACAAAGGGCAAGCACTAGCTGATTTCCTCTTGGAGTATGAAGACAAGTCCGAGGAGTCAAGCCCTTTCGAACCACAATGGGAGCTTCGGGTAGATGGTTCCTCGAACTTGATTAGTGCTGGAGCAGGAGTCATTATCACAACTCCCGAAGGCACCAGATTACAGTAGTCAATCCGGCTGAATTTTCCTGCCACTAACAATGAGGCGGAATACGAAGCTATGCTAGCAGGACTTCGGTTGGCAAACCAGCTTCAGGTAAGGTGCTTAAAAGTTTTTAGTGATTCTCAGCTTATTGTGAATCAGGTAACAGGCCAGTACCAGCCTAAGAAGGATAGAATGAAGGCTTACAAAGAAGCTACGGAGATTGTCTCGCGAGGGTTCGACCAGATCGAGTTTCATCAAATACCTCGCGAGGAGAATTCTGAAGTAGATCAGTTAGCCGCAGCGGCATCTTCTTCAGATGAAGATTTGGTCCGGATTGTACCCATCGACATCCTGGACGAACCGAGTATAAGCCCTCGACATGAGATAATGGTGATCCCAATTGTCCCACGCGAACTATGCTGAATGGATCCATTGGAAGCTTACCTTAAGAAGGGGACTCTCCCGAACCAGAAGGCCGAGGCATGAAAACTCAGGCTCACCGCAGCTAAATATGCTATCATCAATAACCAATTGTATCAAAAATCATTCTTCGGTCCTTACCTAAAATGTTTAAGCCCTACAGAGGCTCTTATGATACTACAACAAATTCATGATGGAGATTGTGGCAATCACTCTGGAGGAAGATCTTTGGCGCATAAAGTTCTAACTCAAGGTTATTTCTGGCCTTATTTGGCTCGGAATGTTGAAGAGTATGTTAGAAAGTGTGATAAGTGCCAACAACATAGTCCAATGAAGCATCAATCCGCCGAAGATTTGCACGTAATGGCGAATCCGTGGCCATTAGTTCAGTGGGGGATCGATATGGTCGGTCCTTTGCCCAAAACGGTGGAGAAGAAGGAGTATGTGTTGCTCACCATCGATTATTTCACTACATGGGTAGAAGCCGAAGCCTATTCAAGTGTGACCCATGAGCAAGTGAAAAGTTTCCTCTGGAATAATATAATCTGCCGATTCGGGATGCCACATGTGATCATGATGGACAATGGCCCCAATTTAGATAACCACAGCACAAGAAAGTTATTTGCCAAGCATGGGATTAGGCAGAAGTTGGCCGCGGTTAGCCATCCTTAAGGGAATAGACAGGAAGAAATAACTAATCGAACCATCTTCAGTTGTTTGAAGAAAAAGTTGGAAAAGCTCAAATCCAAATGGTACGAGAATCTACCTCAGGTACTTTGGGCGTATCGAACCACCCCTCGCCGACCAACAGGAGAAAGCCCTTTTGCCATGGCTTATGGGTCAGAGGCTGTCATACCTATGGAATCAGCAGTTCCGACTCTTCGGACTCACTTGGTGTAATACCCCTAAATTTAAAAAGGACATAATTGGAATTTTATTTTTATTTTATTATTCTTAGGTGTTTTCATGACTTTTGTTACGTGGTTTCTTGTTTTGTTGTTTAAATGAATTAATTGTTTAATTATAAGTGTGCGTGATTAAGTGGCATTTGGAATGTAAAATTAAATGTATTGTTTTTATTTTATTTTATTTTTAACCGAACTTGGGCTTGGATATGATTAACGGACTATTTGGATAGTGTAAATGGGTACCATTTTACCCATGGAAGTATATACATGTATATATATGGGTATATATGTATATAAAGCTAGTTTTAATTATTGCTATTTATTAATAATTAAACTTGAGGTATTAATCCTAATTTAATATAGGTTATAATTTTAGGGTTACATATATTCTCACGTTTTTAGCCGACTTACATTATAACTTTTATGGTTGTTTTTCTTTCTCGGATTAAAATTAGAATTAGGGTTTTAGTTTTTCTAAACCTATAAATATATCATTATGTTGACTTAAGGTTTTTAAAAAAATATGTAAACCTTTTTCACGTACCATAGAGATAGAGAGGAACAAAGCGTAAATTGTGAGATAAATGGTAAGGGTTTCAACTGTGGATAAAGGATTGGTCATAGGAGAAAGGAAGGTTGAGCAGTAGGAGGCTTGACGGCAGTCATGATCGCCGGAAAAAAACCTAGGAAGACGGCGACAAGGTTTTGATTCCAAAACCGCAAAGGCAAGTTTTTTCCTTTCTCTCTCCCGTTGCCTGTATTCTGTGCATCTGTAGATAGTCTCTAGGGCTTTAATGGACTAATAAATTGAATCTTAGATACTTAGTATTTGTTTAATCAATTATCTGTATTTAGGCGTGAATTAATTTTGTTACAGTTCATGCAAGTTTGTTTTGGTTGCAGTGCTTGCTCTTTCTAAGCATGTTGGATCAGCAAAAGTTTTAAGTTTTAATTTGATGCAAATTGACTTAAGTAAGGATTTGGGATGGTTTTAGATATACTTAGGACTCCTAGGAACAATTTTAAAAACCAACAAAGGGAGTGGAAGTGGCCGGTGCTGAAGCAAATGGTCAAAAAAACATAGCTGGAGGAGAACAGAGGCTTAGAGGGATGAAGAGCCGGCTCTGGGGATTGAAGAGCCGGCTCCCATCATTCAAGAGCCGGCTCTAAGAAGGCATGGAGCCAGCTCCATGCTTTCAAGAGCCTGCTCTTGCATTTTAGAGCAGGCTCTCTCCTATTTTGACGTATTTTAGTGTTTTCTGATTTTTCTGGGCACCGTTTGGATGATTTTAATTCTTTCGAATTGTGTTGTGAGGGCATTTGGGTTCTTATTTTAAATCCTATTATTGCATAGTTTATACATTTACACTAAAGTATTAAACAGTAGGAAAATAGACAACTTTTCAGTACTGTTAACGGTTGGAGGAAAGTTAAATTGCGTAGTTTAATTCAGTGATTGACGGATTATAAAACCAGTCATGGGGATGATTTTGGGTGTAAATAGGATTCTTAAACTCAGTATTAAAGATGAACCGAAGGTTGGGAATAGCCGGAGACGAAGCTGAAAGGCGAAACGGAGCAAAACTGGACAGAGGAGGCTCTAAGCCTTTAAGAGCAGGCTCTAAGTTTTTATGGAGCAGGCTCTAAGTTTCTAGAGCAGGCTCTAAGTTTTTATAGAGCAGGCTCCATGGTGTAAAGAGCCTGCTCTATGATTTTTAAGAGAAGGCTCTTTGGTTAGGTTACGTTTGGTTGCAATCTAGAGCTGTCCGGGAACTGTTTGGGCTATGTTTGGAGTTCTAAATTGTTTTAGGGAGTGAACTAACAATTTTAAAAGTAATTTCAAGAGATCTTAAGCTCTCTAATTGCATAAGTTAGCCTATTATAGGAAGGGAATGATCAGTGTGAAAATTAGACAATTTACATACTGTTAACGGTTGGAAGGGAAGTAGTTGTTCAATTTTTAAATAGGCGACTTAAGTAATTATAACATGATGTTAATCTTGTTTTAAATGCACGTTAGGGTCATTTACTTAATAAATTTGATCTGTGCACACTCGGGAATATAATTGCTGAATTAATAAATCCGTTCTACAATTACGTAGATTAAGGATAGGAAATTACTTGCTTTCTCTAATATGGCAATTTAATGAGTTATAACATGTTTCTAATTTTTGTTTTAGATGCACAGTAGAGTCTTTTAGTTTAAAGATTAGACCTATGCATACTTTGGATTTTTATATTACTGAAACATTAATTTTCCTGCAATTACATGAGTAAAATGTTTGCTTTAAATTGTTGAATTATTAGATACACTATTCTGCAATTAATTGGATGATGGTTTTCAACTGGATGATGGTTTTGGACTTAAATTGCTAAACTAAAACATAGGTTTTGTAATTTACATGGGAGTTAACCTGGACTTAATTGAAGAATTAATTGCTTATTTTCTGTCAATTATATGAATGGATTTTCGATTTTAAGTTAACGAACGATTAAGTTTTGTCTCGTCAATTTCATAGATATTGTCATGGATATTTAGTTGATAAACTTTTCCAATTTTGTTTTATCAGCTACATGGATTTATGTGGATTGTATTTGGTGTACTGATTGAGTTAATGCATCATTTACGGATCATATGCATGGTATGTACCGGTATGGGACGGTGACATACGGAGGGACGAATTAGATCAAAACGCTAATTCCAACCCATTCATACATACGGAATGGATTAACTAAAACAGTTGAATCCTACATTGTTTCATGTCCTGTAAACTAAAACAGTTGAACGACATATTGGATGGTTGTTTATATTTTCTGTTAATAAGAAGGATAGGGATTTAATTAAAACATTTAGATCCTAATTATATGTTGTGTTTTGGCAACGAATAGTTGACCGGCTCAACATTGTATTTGGATGGGTTGTATATACACTTAATTTATGTTAGTCTGTGCAGTTGAACAAGCTGAACGACTAGCTGGATTTCTTATGGTTGGATAGGATCGGACTTTATATATATAATTATGGTACCGTGATCTGAGCTTGAGTCTCATAGTCAACGGTTAGGGAGCGTATATGTAGTGGGATGCATAGCTAGCTATGTTGGTTGAGGTATACCCTGTTAGGCTTAGGTAGTCATGCCCACTCAAGTGCGTTTTTGCATGTTGCCTTCTATTCAGGTTGAGACCCTCAGCATAGTCTAGTGAGAGTCCTGTAGTGTGGTTATATGTATATATCTATTTATGGATTATATAAATATGGTTGAAACATCTAGGATGTATCTGCGTATCGGGTCTCTGTTTGGATTGTAGTTAGGATAGAACTTGTTCGTGGGCCTGACCCACTATTATTTTTCAGGTAACGGACGGTTCCAGGTCTTAGATCTTGTTCGTGCTGGGCAGAGACGACTTCTTATTCTTCCGACGACGTAGGCGGTTCCTGTATGGTTTAGCATTGGATTCTTTTTCGGTGGTTCATTTCTCAGTGATGATTTTTATTAGGGGTCCACCAGATGGATTCCCGAGTTGTATTAGAAATGGAGAATTTGGATGTATCAGAATAATTCTTTATTAATTTAATTTTATTCTGAGGTTTCAGTATTTGGTTTATCATTCTAGTTTCTTTTTAGCAAATTTTTATTTATTCCTGTTTCCTTAATTGTATTCTGTGTTCGTTTATTGCTAATTTGTTTGATATCCTCGGGTAGTCGGGCGTGGGCCTGGCCAACCCGTATCCAGAAATCCGGGGGTATCACACTTAGTACTCGAAGGTAATAACTACCAGCAATTCGAGCACAGCCTCAATCTCTTGGAAGAAAAGAGGGATGCCGCGACAATCAGGCTCGCTTCATATCAGTAGCAGTTGCGTAACAGTTACAACAAGCGTGTTAAGTTCAGACGTTTTGTAGAAGGAGATTAGGTGCTGAAACAGGAAATGGCTCATGTAAAAAAGTTGCAACCCAATTGGATCGGACCGTACAGAGTCACTGAAGTAGTGGGAAAAGGAGCCTACCGATTGGCAGAAGCTGATGGACGTCCAATTGCGCGTTCATGGAATGCAATACACTTAAAAAGGTACTATCATTAGATGATATAGTTTATTTAATTTCTATTTATAGACTACATACATCTATTTTTTATCCAAGTATGGCTGCTTATAGGCCTATTTAATAAAAGTTGCTTGAAGTTTTGCCTATCTTTGCACATCTTTATTCCTTTAGTAGAGTGGGGCCTTACTTCTCTTGTCGTGATAAGGGGCAATACACCCTACTCTTGATATTGCAACAAGAAACGGATATACGACAAAAGAAGCAACACAAAGCAAACAAAATGAATAAATTTTAATTTTTTGCTTATACTTACAAGTCCTTTTTTATACAAGGCAAAAACAAAACGAATGATTTTGACTTTTTACAAGTCCTTTTTTATACAAGTACATCAAAATGCAAGTATGTACCCGATTGTTGATGTCACAAGTTCTTTGGTAATGGACATTTAGGCTCTATTTAAATCATGAGCCCAAGGTTGCTTTACAGTCTTTTCATGTTTTGAACACAAACCACGAGTGTGTACAATTCAGAGTACTTATGTAGTATGGTCCCACATTGGAAAAACACTGTTTATATGCTACCTTTATATAAGGAAATATTAAAGTATTTGGATGCATTGCAAAGAGAGCCCGTTGGTAATAGTACTGGCCCAGCCCAAGTTGAATGCATAGCCCTAGTACCAACGGGTATTCTTTGTAATAATTTTTGCTCTTTCCAAACAAATCAGTCTTAGTGGCTCATATATCATTTGTCCCATATCGAAAAGGAATACTAAAAGTATATAGTTAATATAGAGTTGACAAACAGCGTTTGATTGCCACGAAGAGAGTCCCTGTGAAGGAACGCCTTCCAAAAAACATATATGAAGGATTTCCCAGTTATAATTACTTTCTTTCTTGGCCTCATGACATTTTTAAATCTTCGGCTAGCGTGGCGAATTGGATGATTTTTCCAAATCCGGCTTATAGCCGAGGACACTTCGCTTGGGACCCCAAGAGTCCAGTTCAGAGCGGACCCCAAGAGTCCAGTTCAGAGAAGTTCCTCTCCGGCTTATAGCCGAGGACACTTCGCTTCGGACCCTAAGAGTCCAACTCAGAAAAGTTCCTTCGCTTCGGACCCTAAGAGTCCAGCTCATGAAAGTTCCTCTCCGGCTTATAGCCGAGGACACTTCGTTTCAGACCCCAAGAGTCCAGTTCAGGAAAGTTCCTCTCCGGCTCATAGCCGAGGACACTTCGCTTCGAACCCCAAGAGTCCAATTCAGAGAAGTTTCTCTCCAGCTCATAGCCGAGGACACTTAGCTTCGGACCCCAAGAGTCCAGCTCAGAAAAGTTCTTTCGTTTCGGACCCTAAGAGTCTAATTCAGAGAAGTTCCTCTCCGGCTCATAGCCGAGGACACTTTGCTTCAGACCCCAAGAGTCCAGCTCAAAAAAATTCCTTTGCTTCGGACCCTAAGAGTCCAGTTCAGAGAAGTTCCTCTCCGGCTCATAGCCGAAGACATTTCGCTTCGGACCCCAAAAGTCCAGCTCAGAAAAGTTCCTTTCAGGCTCACAGCTGAGGACACTTCGCTTCGAACCCTAAAAGGTCAGCTCAGCACGGTCCTTTTGTGGCTCATAGCCGAGGAACGTAACTCCTCGGACCCCAAGTGTCCGACACTCAAACCTCAAGACTCAGGAGTAGTACAACTCCTCCCAGGCTCATGACTGAGGAGTTTATTGCATCATGCATTAGGAGTCCAGCACAATACGACTCTTTTCAAGCTCCTTGCTAGCTAATATATTACCTCAGATGATTCAAGTTCAATACTCAGCCAAAGGGTGCTACTTCAAACAATTGAAGTCCGAAGTTGCGCTAGCAAAGTGAGTCTAAGCAGGAACAAAAGTTCTCTATGGTGACACACCCGCAGACTCTTACTCAAAATTTCATCCCACATCAAAATGATGTAGGGAAAAATAAGCATTGATATGTACATTTCTTATAAATCAACAGCAAGAAGGGTTCCCTTGATAGTTGGAATGATAGATGAAAAAGCCTTCTTCAGGTAATAATTAAACGGTCAAAGGGATTCCCTTCTTATCATCTGTACTATTTTTTCAGGTCACAAGAGATCCAAAGCTCCCAGGCAATAAGCCTTCCTCCCAGTGAGGAGCATGTCTTTGTAATATGATTGTACAGAAGCCAAAAGTATTCATAAACATGAAGAGGACTTTAGAATAAATATGATCATTACATTGCAAAAGTTATAGTTTATACAACTGTTCTTTCAAAACAAGGAAAGAAACACAAAAAAGAGGCAGTTACATAGATCTACTTCCTTTTTGGATCAAATGGAGTAGAGTCAAAGGCGTCCACCACGTTTGGATTGGTAGGAAGAGGGATCAGCAGGTCAAAGGATGGGGGAGCTGGCAAGCTTAAGGCTAGAGGAACTTCCAGATGAGCTTTCACCATCTCGGCAAAAGCACCTCAGTTTCCTGAGCCTTGGGTTCCTAGCATAAGAAAATGACACCCCCATGTTAGCATCAAAAGCCTCTGGGTCCGTCGACTTGTCACCAGAGCCCTGGTTGAAGCCGAACCTAAAAGCTTTTACGCTGGATAAACGCACGATGGTGGAGTAGCGTCCTTGCATTTGCCTCCCATCAGTAATATAGGTACCAATGGCATCATTTAAGCGCTGAACTTCAGCCTCCAGAGCCTGCACCTTTGCCTCAGAAGCTGTCAGGCGATTCTTGTAAACATCCCTCACATCAGAAGCAATCTTCGCATTCATAGCCCAGTGCAAAGACTTCTTCTCAGCATTGCCTAAGTCCCTTTTCAATTTCTTAATGGAAAGCGACTGAGCTTCAGCAGTGGCACATAGTGCCATAGTCTGGTACAGACTTTACATGATCAACAATAATAATGTTAATAGATTTGTGGTGAAGATAAATTTGAGGAATTAAACAAATAGATGAAAAAGAATAAACCTTCACGGCATCCACGGGGGCAGATGGCAGCAGCTGGTCCAGCCCCAGATTCCCAATAATTTCCTCAACCTTGGGAAGCCACATACCTTGAGCAACAGCCAAGGCAACAAAAGGGTCAGAGACTATGGAATCCCAGAAGTGAAGAACTGACTTGTCAGCCCTTGAAAAGACAGGCCTCCAGGGTTCTCCAGATTTAGCCTGAACGTAAGCATGGACTTCCTCCTTCGGGTCAGTCTTTCCAGCTTTCTTCCCCTTGCTTTTTAGGATGGTCTTGTTCTTGCTGCTGGAGGAAGTATTGGATCTAATCTTTTTTAGAGGGGGTTCATCCACCTCCTGCTCATCTTCAGTTGATCTAATAACCAACAAAGGTTGCTCCTCAGCAGCCTTCTTCTTCAGAGCTTCAGCCCTCAGCTTTTCTTCCTCAGTCAAGTGGAAGCTATCGAAAAAGGGGAGCGCCAAATCCATGAGATTTGCAGCAGAAGCACTAACAGCGATATCCTGAAGGTTGGATAAGGTGAGCAGCTCCTCAATCGAGGGGGTTCGCTCCAAACCTGTGCTTCAAGAAGGGCGAACCTCTTCTTAGCTACGGAAGAAGGAAAGGTAGCCGAAAGAAGAACAAGAAATTCATAAGTATGGTGAAATAATAAAACTTGACATGGGAAACAACCAGAACATTTTTCATAAAATAAGGGAAGGTACTTTATACCTAACTTCCCAAATTTGCAAAGAATGGGAAGGGAATTCGATTTGTCCACAAACCAGTTCCCCTTCACAATTATCATCCTCTCATTCCACTTCTTCTCGAAGAAAGGGAGGTTCGTGCATATTCTCTGATGAAGGGGAGAAGTGAGGTAGAAGCGGCTAGGCTCAGTCCCATGCCTGATGATGGTATAGGTAGTTAGTAGATCGGCAAGAGTCAAGTCGAGACTTTCCAACCTCCGGCGAACTAGAAGAGCCGAAATCACTCAAAAGAAGTTAGGGTTCACTTGAAGAGGGGCAATCTCTAGTTTGTTAAAAACTAAATGATAGAAAGGGGTGAAAAGGGAAACGAAGAGCGTTGAGATGCCCAACGGATAATAGCAATTCATTGTTTCCTACACCTTCACCGGAACTAAAGTCAGCCCCTTCTGAGTACACGACAATGTCAACTCCTTTAGGAATTTCATAATCATTTACTACAGACTCGATTGAGAACTTGATACGATGAACAGACAAAATTAACTCTCTCTCTCCCTTAGTAAATAAGCAATCGGACCCTGAAGTGGATTCTTCAGCTTGCGAAGTGGATTCTTCAACTTCTGAAGGAGAGATATCCATCTGAACAACTAAATCGTTCATGGTTTCAACAGGGTCAGTGATGTGACTTGAGCGTGTGCACAAAATAATGCACAACACTTTGGTTTTGGAAATGGTATCAAGCGGGCATCATAGTTTATATTTATAAACCGCTAGACACTTATACTATGTAGTATGAAGTGAAAAGGGATTGAACCCAAGAGACCTTTGGCTTGGATTTAAATAAGACAGTTGGTTTTAACAAATAATTACCATAAGAGAGAGAAAGAGAGAATAAAATAGATGGTTGGTTGATTAAGCTAGTGAACAATTAAATTAAAATGCAATGAAAATAAACTAAGTTAGAGTTAGGGGTTTAAGAGATAGAAGAAAATTCTTAGGGTTTATTGGAAGTACCACTAAGCTCATGCAATTAACCACTTGCTTTCCATTAATGGGGAGAACATTGTTGTAATTAAAATGTAGCTACAATCAATGGCACAATTTGCATATGTAAGCATGATCATCCAATTCATTTGTAATGCATTGCCTACCTAACCAACAAGTAAACTACGTGTAGGACAACACACCAATCTTGAGGCTTAACCTATCTCACAAATCCACAAATGCATCCAATGAGAGCACACATCAATGTGATAACACAAATTTCAATCATGATAATGGATTGATTAATTAAGTGTAGATTGTCTACCTAATGACAAGTAAACTAGGGTGTAGTACAACCTATCAAGACAAAACCATAACCAAACAAATCCATTGACCATTTGCATATAATCCACAATCAAGAAGATGATACAAATTGCATATAATAAGTGTGGAATATCAATTTCAAGTATGAATTGTCTAATCATAACACAACTCATCAAGAATAAAGTATAAACCATCAGACTAGTTAACAATTGCATCCATTAAATACCATGTCATGGTCTTCAAGTATAATTCTTAATTAATAACATATAGACATGAAATTAACATATAGAATTAATGAAAGAATTAATCTTTAACATCTAATCATGAGTATAAACCCTAGATTGATCACACATAGACATGCAACCAAAGACAGAGAAATAATGGATGGATTAATTAACATAAATCTTGGAACATCCAAGTATGAAATCACAAGACCACAACATCAACTACAACAATATATTAATCTCCCCAGAAATAGAAATTGCAAAGGTTTAGATTACAAGAGACTTAGGGCTTAACCAAGCCCTAAGTGGAGAGCTAACCCATCATGGTTGTGGTAGTCCAGGTGTCAACAAGATCCACCTCCATGCTTTGCTCCTTCTTCTTCTTCTTTGATGCTCAAGAGAGATGAGTGTGTAGATATTCTTCCAAACTTGTGCCTCCACTCTTCCCTCTCTTCTCACCCTAGCCTGTTCTCCAGAGAGAACGTGATATCTTGGTACAGAAAAAAAAAAATAATTAATAATTCAAATAATATTCACCTAAATAAAATAAATACTAACCCTAATCTAATGGCTCACTGGGCCTTAAGTAACAACCCTATTAAAGCCTAATAGTTCATAAAATAAGCCCAAACAATAAAAAAAATCTGTAATGTTGCCAAGTCCTGGGGGATCGATCCCCCCAGAGTTGGAAATTTCCTTTAAGCCCTATTTAGCTCCATTTTGGCCCCGAGCTCATTAGTTTGCTTCTTCATCTTTGGGAACATTATCAAAGGCCTGAAATTGACTGCTTTTGAAGAATAAACACACTATACGAGCAATGGGCTGCGACTTCCTTTTTGCCATTTTCTGAGCTTTTTCTGAATATCTTTGCTTGACTCCAAAAAGGCTTTAATGGACCGTTCTTAGCTCATTTTAACTTTATTGCCCTGAAATACACATAAACATAAATTAGGACTAAAACATGATATTAAGATAGATGCAAAGACTGAAATACCCTAACTTAGGTGCTGAAATGTGCAACATTTAAGCACTTATCACACCCCCAAACTTAGATATTGCTAGTCCCTAGTAATGAACTACAGCATTGAAATGAATTAAACATATATACAATTATGAACTAATAAAACAAATAAAGATAACACCACTTTCGTAGGGATCACGGTTGCATTTAGCATATACAACAAGCCTTTTAAACCCCTAGGTTACCCCTAGTGGACGAGTGAAATCTCGTGAGGGTTTCCAGAAATGGTACACACAAACATCAAAAGCTCTTTCTTACTTGAGAAGTAACGACACATATTAAACAAGTGTTGAAAGTAGACTACCTCAAGTATGCAAATTCTGCCATTTCTAAGCTATTCTCAACATTTCAATATCATGTAAGCAAGAATGGTCCTCCACACATCAAGCAATTAATCATACAAACTGAATCAATTCTATCATTCTTTTTTAGTGAACCAGCATCAAAATGTGTTGCTATCCTAGCAATCAAAGTAATGGCGTAGCCTTACCCTCAAACTGGCATACAGATATAGTACCAATCCTCAAGACATTGAATGAACCTTGTTATTCAATCAAACATTGTTTTTTTTATTGATTTCATTTTTTTTATTTTTTTATTTTTATTTTTTATTTTTTTATGTATGACCATGTGCAATGTCCAAGTTCATTAAGCTCTCTAATCACCCCATATAACAAGCGTTGAGCCAACGACTCCCAAACCAGATGGTCTTAGGGCATTAAGTGTAAAGACATTCCTAAGGGCGTAATGACTCGGAATGGTTAGGCTACGAACTCAAACTAATCATACATCTTACATTCTTCCCTTGTCTTCCTTTTTAATCAGTTGACATGTTGAAAGAATGCAGTTTTTTTTTTTTTTTTTTTTTTTATTCCTCACTTTTGGTAAGTGCTTTTATTTCTTTTCTTTGCAAGGTCATTTTATCAAGAATGAAAGCTTTCAAAGCATACTAGCTCAATTGGGATAAACCAAGACAATAATCAACTAAGCATGTACCCCACAAATTGAATGCTAGTGTGCGCAAGTGCAAGTGTAGAATTCTAGAATCAACTTTTAAAGCATTTTCAACCAACAAGATGATGTGTACCACAAAAGCAAATATGATGTCAAAAATTAAAATTTTCCCCCAAATGGCATCCTAGAGCATACAAGAAGTATTAGACTCTAACAACTTGCTTTCCAATGGCACTATGTTTCAAAATTTCGAAGTCATTGCCAAACACATCTCAAATCTCAATTATGTATTTAAAGCTCAACTTAAAGTAGAATGTAACACGACTACCTTACCCCCAAACTTAAACTGCACATTGTCCTCAATGTGCAATGTAAACAATGAAAGAAATGGAAAGAGTATACCATGATGGCAAAAGTTAATGACGCCCGGCAATGATCCATGACGAAAGAGGTCTCCCCCAAACTTGGATGCAAAAACCTACTAGAAAAGCCACACTAGCAACTCACATCAAATATCAAATGGGATAAGTAAAGCATACATTCTAAAACAATATAGAATAAGATGTAAAGAGATATGATATCAAGCCCTTTGTAAAAGATGAAAACATGTATAACTAAGCAGAAGGGCATAACGGGAACACATATTTTTGAAATTTTTTTATTTATTTATTTTTTTGTTTGTTTTGTTTTTTTAATTGTATTTTAAAAGAAACAAAGAAAAAGAACATGTATATACAACCTAAAAAATAAATAAATAAATAATACGCTAAGTGTAACGTCTCTAGCAAGACAGAATGCTACTGAAATTTTTTTTTATTTAAAATAAATCAATTCAATTTTTTTTTTTTTTTTAATTATCAATGCAATTGTTTTTAACAACAATTCAACTGTTATTTTATTTATTTAATTTTTTTATGAAGAATAAAATTTTATTTTATGTATTTTTTTATTATTATTATTTTTGTTATGTAACTTTGTTATTATTTTTTTATTATTTATTTAATTTTTTCTTTTCTTTTTCTTTTTTTTTTTTTTTTTTTTTTTTACACATCACAAGCTCGCCGGAGAAGACAACCGGCAGCGCTGGGTAAACCCAGTCCAAGAATCGCCGGCGAGACCCAGCAGCCAAGCCGCGACGCCAGAGAAGAACTACGAACAGCCGCGAGAAGAGCCCAGCCGCGATTTTATACCTATTAGGTGTTGGGTCAAAATTCTAATACAGTTACTGACAGGGCAATCTGTGTACCACGAACTGGTAATGGAAGCAAATTTCCATGGAATGGGTTGAGATTTGAAAATGTAAAAGAAATGATTTTTTTTTAACTGAACATGTATCCTGAAAACCGAAGACAAAAAAGGATTGGAGAACCTACTTAATAGTAAAGTTTATATCTACAATCAAGACATTAAACATGTAAAAGTTATATTTGAATGATGTACAAGATAACTCCATAAAATCTTGCAATTACTAACAAGTTGTTAGGTTTGATGAGGATTGTGCCATGATGCCATATTAGTATGAAGAAAAGTATCTAGATCCACCAACCGATGCTTAGGATATCGATAAAACCTGAAATTACCCATTCCCAAAAAAGTTTAATTTGATGATGTTAGCATTTGACTTTATTCAAATTCTATTGTAACTTTTAGAATGTTAAAGAGATTTTTTTTGAAGTAAAATGGTTAGAACTCATCAATAATTCAAGATGAATTATTATACAGGATCCGTTAATTGGTTATTGGCATGAGATACTTGCAAGTCGGGTCATAATGATGCGCTTTAGAAAAATGCCATACAAATGGAAAAGCGTATTAAAAATACTTCTGTCTTGAAGCAAAATACTCTCATTGTGATTTTGCTTTTGAGATTGCTTATCAAGTAATTCTAGGATGGATATTTGGTGTCATTTTGAGAATAGCATTTCGCTTATTCAATTAATGGGAGCAAAGTTTACGAGAACAGCTCGTAGTTAAGTCTCAGTGAACCTACTAATTTGTTCATGTATTGTTCATATGGCATGTAGGCATTGGAAGGACAAAGAAAATCACATAAAAGAAAAAGAAACATGTGTGGGCTCGTCAGATCATGAATGAACTGGTTGTACGTGCATCTACTTACAAATATGATTATAATGGAAAAATGCCCCATGAATCCCAAAATTTCAAGGATGGAGGAGGAGCCCAAGTTCCAACGTCGCCACCCTCCCAAATTTTCAAGGATGGAGGAGGAACCGAAGTTCCAACGTTGCCACCCTTAACGGATGACCCTAATAAATCTTTAGGCATAATAATGAACTGTGGGAACAATTCTTTAGATGCAAGAAAAAACAAGGATCAGAATAAGAAGGATCAGAATGAATCAGGTAAAGTTACAAGTTTTCGCTTAACTGTGACTTCACATGCCTTGTGTATGACTTTATTGAATGAAAGAAGCATCTGTGTTATTTGTGAGACTGTAATAAGTGGGAAATACTTGTACCTAGGGAAATGGAAAATCGAAGTAGTTCGAATTCGTTTGGGGTTGAAAACTTGTTTTTGCAACTACATTGGGAATGGATAATCATTGTAGTTCGAATTAGTTTGAGGTTGAAAACTTTTTTTTTTTGCAACTTTTTGGGATTTTTTAGGAGAATTTTCAAAAGCAACTAAGGAAATTCAGGAGTCTTCCTCCTCTGATTATTTGGGTAACCATGAATCACATCCAAGTGCTTGCTATTCCCTTGATCTCATTGTAATGAAAAACTTAAAGATGTTTTCTAGTTCCTATTAAAGTATTTTTCCTTAAAACTTTTCAACTTAGATTTACAACTTAGTGATTTTAATTCTGGTGGAATAATAAAACCCGCAAAATAATTAACTGTGACAGTTTCAGGGTTATAGAAGTGCATTTTCAGAGAAACCTGGAAAATATATGATGTTTTTTAGGAACAAGCAAACTATTTGCAATGTTTTACACAGCCTGTATGATAGATTATGCTGTTTTAACTAGGAAAAAAAAGAAGAGATTATGCTGTTTACTTTCATTAGCAGTGTTCATTTTATTAGAAGCTAAATTTTTTTATTATTTCCACTTCTTTGTTTTCCATTATCTTTCAGTCTTGTTAGGCCGGTGGTACAACACTTTCAATGTACTTTTCACCTCCAATTGTACTTCCTTGACCTTTCCTGGAGTTTTGCTAATTACTCTCTTAAAACCTTTATCCTGGAGCACTGGGAATTGTAATAGCAGTGATTTTAAACAAAAAAAATGTCTCTTACTAACCAAAAAGTAGTTGTCTCAAGAACAATAATGAAATATTGTTGGTTATTTCTAAAACTATCTTTAATTTTTTGTATTTGTAACATTTGCTATCTGAAAGAGCACAAGTCATGTAACAATATATGTAAAGCATTTTTTCTTGTTTTAACTAGTCATAAGAGATACTGTTTACAAAATTGTGATTTTAGATGGCACGGATAAAAGGGACGCACTACCCGGATCTTTTGCTGCAAAGATTGAATTGATTAATGTGATGGACAAATTCCTCAATGCGTACCCAAATGTAGTTCAAGTGTTGAATTCATCTTTCAAAGATCTTAGACATTTGCAATATGAAAAGAAGCAAATGCATGATTATGGGAAAAGGGAGACTCCATTATTAATAGCAGCAAAGATGGGAATTGTTGAAATGGTGGAGAAAATCATCTGCACATTTCCGGTGGCTATCCAGGACTTGGACTCCAATAAGAAGAATGTTGTGCTCTTGGCAGTTGAGAACAGACAAGCTCAGGTTTACAATCTCTTGCTAAAATGTAGTTACCTTAAGGAGAGCGTACTCCGTCAAGTGGATGACCAAGGGAACAGTGCACTGCATCTTCCTTCAATGTTCGGGGATCACCAGCCTTGGCACATTCCAGGCGCAGCACTGCAAATACAATGGGAAATTAAGTGGTACAAGGTATGATCTATAATTCCCATACTATTTATGTTCATGGTTTAGAATTGTGTATCTCAGATCATTTTGACCTGGTTATGCCTTCCAAACATGAAATGTAACATTCATAAATTGACAAAACATATTGATTGCACAATTCTTGTATAACCGCCATCATGGTTGGATAGATAATAGGTTCAACAATTAGATAACTTTCTGTCGCATCTTATATTTGCCGAAATTTTGGCTTTATTATCCATCATCTAGTTTATGTTTTAGGTTCAGCTCTTCCCTTGTAACTAATTGCCCAGTCATCATGTGACTAGGCACAAAAGCGTAATTAAGCACATAGTTTGATTATTCAGAGTCCGAATTCATAAAATTCAAGCGTGAGTTATATAATTCTTGACTTGTATCATAATCACTGAAAAAAGTCTGGTTGGAAAACTGAGAACTAATGCTTTGTTTGGTATGAGGGTGGGAAAAATGGATTGGTGGGATAGGAGGAAAAATGGAAGCTAGAGGCATCCCTAGGGAAGGGAGGGTGTCCATCCCTCTTTTGTTTGGTCGAGTGGAAGGGAAGTAATTAAAGAAGTGACATTATCATTTTACCTTTATACCTTAATTATTTGAATTAACATACTTAAATAAGAGTGATAAAACCCTTTTTTTTATTTTTTTTTTTATCCAACAAATATTCATTCTCTCTACCTCCTTCCTCTCAATTTTGGATGGAAGAAAATGGTAGGCCAGGAGGGTTGCTTCATACCTCCTCCTATCCTTCCCCTCTACCAAACTATGGAAGCTTGTATTGGATAAAATGAGTGAAATATTATAATGTGTTGTTACTACTAGTTACTAGTAAGAATCTGTTTTTTGACAAGGTATATGTCCTTTTAGACTAATGAAAGAATTAAGTTAGGCCACAAGCAACCTTTAATTTCACAATAGTTGTAGAAACAAACTGAATAGGACTACTCGAGCTTTGTGAAAGTTGAACTTGAATTTGAGAAATCCAATGGTTTCCTAGCCTCGACTTGTATATGAATTTCTTGCTGCACTTAAATCTGGATAAAGGTCATAATTTATCAAATTTCAAGCATCTCAATCAAAGCTGAATACTAAGGCCAATGCAGACACTTGCATAAGAAATCCTGGCCTATGCCCTTTTTTAGAACCGAGTAGACAAAACCTTTCATCCGTAATGAGAAAAGTTTTTTTTCATGCTGAATATGTATGTCCTCTATACCTTCCACACACAAATGCACATATCTCGTGTCTTTTTTTATTTCTTCTTGGTGGTTTTGACTTGATTTATCAATTCCAACATAGTTAGCTAAATTCAATAAGATTTGTGTCATATATATAATGCATACTACTCGCACCTTCAATTCATACATGTTACATGGTTATATTCCTATCTTGGTAATTCTGATTGGGCTAAATGATCATGAATATGCACCAACTTACAACCATTTTCAGTTGTGTTACTATTTTTGGGGAAAGTTGTCATTGTGTGCGTCTATGAGCACAATCATTTATATGTGTGCATCTCAAGAGCACAAAGTTTACTGATTTAATTATTCTGGTGATACAGTTTGTTAAACACTCAATGCCACCCCAGTTCTTTGTTCGCTATAACAAAATGGGCGAGAACCCAAGTGAGATCTTCACTCGTACACACCAAAAGCTGGTGAAGAGTGGCAGCAACTGGCTTATCAAAACCTCTGAGTCGTGCTCTGTGGTCACAGCACTCATTGCAGCAGTTGCATTTGCAACATCAGCAACTGTGCCAGGTGGCGCCGATCAAGATACCGGTGTTCCAATTCTTGGAAGCGAGCCCGCGTTTGTTGTCTTTTCCATCTCATCACTAATTGCTCTCTGCTACTCTGTCACAGCCCTGGTGTTTTTCCTGGCAATTCTCACCTCTCGATGCCAAGAAAAAGACTTCCATAAAGATTTACCAAGGAAGCTTCTGCTTGGTTTAACATCGCTATTCGCTTCAATAGCTTCCATGCTGGTTTCATTCTGCGCTGCACATTTTTTTCTCCTCAAAGATAAATTGAAATCTGCGACCTTTCCAATATATGCAGTGACGTGCTTGCCAGTAACATTTTTTGCCTTTGCTCAGCTCACTCTTTACGGAGATCTTATCTGGGCCATCCTTACAAAGGTGCCGCAGCGTAGCTACAAGGTGTTTCCTCATTAGGTTTGTCATTTATGTTCTCCACCCCTTTGATATGTAACTGAGAACATATAATTTGTTTTCGAGTTCTAAGCTTGGTTTATGATTTGTGTCATGGTCTTTTAGTATGAGCAAGTTAAAATGTGGTTCAGCTAAGTAGCATAGTTCGTTTACGACATTGAACTTCATACATAAACGCACAATCTTTCAAATACCTTTCGCTCAACCTCACAAGCCATTTACTGTAGAAGAATTTAAAACTTGTGTAGGAAAATTTATCGAGATGAAAGGTATAAATGACTAGGATGAACTATTTCTATTAAGTTGCTCCAGGACTGGCCTAATATCACATGGAAAACAATAAAACAGAACGTGGGAACTGTTGAGGCTATGTCCTCATTCTGCTAAAAAGTTCAGTATTCTGTTAGTTTCTCTGATACAAGATTAATTTTCGTGTAAATGCATTTTAATATCCTTCATTAAATTGATAGTTTTTTTATTGTAGGATGCTACTAAAGAACAATTAGAAAAAGCTACTGTATGTAGATGATCATAATGTTTAGGCTGTTTGATTTAGGTAACTACATAGAACTCAGAAATGTATTGTTACCCAACTGGTGGACCTACTTGATACCTCCCTCTATTATAACTTTGGCAATGCTATTCAGACCTAATAGTTTAACCTAGCCGAAAGTTTCTTATCCATTTGATGCATCGGATAAGATCAAAGTTGTGGCCTTATTCAATGCATCTAATAGATAAGACTTTCTCGGCTAGGCAGCTTGCTTAGACTATTATAATAATGTAATGTTTCCAATTTTTACCATTTTTTATTTGTTGGAATTTTTTGATTTTTCGAGATATTTTCGTCTTTACTCGTTTTGCGTGCCGGACACCGTGGGGTGTGCCGATTATGTCTAAGAGTTTGTTAAGGCATTCCATTGAATTCAGGACTCTTGGAAATGCAACGACTACCATCCCGACATTTTTTCTTTTTTCGAGCCAGGAGGCGGTCCCACTACCGGAGTCATCGTGTACGAAGGTTGTGTCTTGGGTCCATTGCATACCATGTATCATTATTTTATGTTCATTTACATTGTTGTAAGTCAAATTGTATGGTTGCATAAAAGAATGATATTTTAATGTAGGACCCACTTGTTATTTCTTTAGCCACATATATTGACTTATAATGACCATAAGTCATCAGATGGATCATTTTTATCTCACCCGCACAGAAACTCTCTCACTCGTCCCAGCTTTTTTTTCTTTTTTTTCTTTTTTTTCCAACCTTTAAGCTTAGATATCTCTTTATCCTTTGAGATTTCAATCTTGCTACAAAAGGCAAAGTTGATGAGTGCGTCGAGGCCTACATTTTGATCGGAGTAAAGTTCAATTTGGCCACCATTTGAGATTTCAAATTTTGGGTTCAATTGGGGGCTTTTTCTTCTAATTGAGGTAGGGGTACTTTAATCCACAATTTCTTGGATTTTTTGTGAATTTTTCCTTTAATTTGACTCTAAGCATGCTTAATTTTAATTATCTTGATTATGTTTGTTGTGATTGTTGGTATTTAAGGTGATAAAGACATGTTATCTGTTAAGTGAGCTTATGAATATGATTAAATTCTTTGTGGTGAAGAAACATGCTTAGTGTTGATATATTATATGTCCTATGATTTTAAATTATTATGAAAAGTGATGTTGTAGTTATGAAAATAAATAATTTTATTTTATGCCTTATGTATTTAAGTTGCTGGATTTACGAATTGAAAGTATGTAAAATACCATGATTTAGAAATACGAAAATGTGATATTGTGTGAAAATTCATGTTTTAAACATGCTTAACTGATGTGGATGATATGTATGAAATTTTTATATTGTCATGGCATTGAAGAAATTGCATAATTCATGCATTACCATTGGGAAAGTAAAGGGAAAAGTTTGTTTTAAAAAAAAAAAAACAACTGAAATTGTATTGGAAAATGGTTTTTGAAAAGTGTTTGTGAAATCCGGACGCCTAGGAGGCGTCTAGTGGTCCGTGGTGTTAGTATGGTCTAGAGGGGAGCTAGAGAGAGACTCTAGTGTGGTTAAGCTACTTAGGCCCAGATGAAGCCATGGAGGTGCCATGTGGTCGGGGAAAGCTAGCCAACCTTCCCTTCGTGACGCCTCAGAGGTGCCTTGGGTCGGATCGCATTAACGGTTTGGAAGTTGAAATGGCATTGTTTCGGAAATGGGGAGCGACATTGCATGGCATGGTATTGCATTGGCATACATTTTATATTTGGTGGTTAGACGACTTGCGTATGTATTTGTTGATTATTATAGTTATTTTGCTTATTTTCCCTGAGATATGATCCCGTTCTCTCGTATCATATTCATTGTATGGATTCACGAGGTCGTAAGAGGTGTGTCTTAGACGCTTCCTACTGAGCTTTATGCTCATCCCATCATCTTAACATTTTTCAGGTCACGAGAAAGAAGTGGCGGACGATGCTACTCCACAGGTTTTGATGGGTTAGTGAACTGTTTTGACATATTTTGTAGCTATGATCTCATTTTATTATTATTATTATTTATGAACCCTGGGATGACATGTATATTATGTATTGACATAGGAAAGGACGGTAACGTCTTTAATTGACCTTGAATTCGGATAAGGACCCGGTTAGCGATTCGGACCCTTGGGTTATCAGAGCTTTAGGTTCGAAAACCTAAGGACGACAAGTAGTGGCTTGCCTAGAGGGGTAAAAGGCTGACTTGTGTTGATTACGTGTTGGTGTTTATGTACTTGTTGTTTTATGAAGTATGTTTACTTGCTACTTGTTTATATGTTTACAGTTTTGAAGGCATGCCTATTTGCTAAGTGCTTACATGTTTAATTACCGTTATATGTAAATGAAATGTAAAAGTATTTGAAAGCATGTTATACATGATAAGGTGAAAAGTATGTGATACATAACGGTGGCAAATAGTAGGCACAGTTGGTGCAATTTTCTTTTATGCTAATGTGACAAGTAATGAGCCTGATATATCCAAGCATGTTTCGTATAGTATTGTGGGTTTCATTCATTTTGTATACGTATATATCTATATTCCTATATGTTTATGCGGTTGAGCATTGGGGTGGTTGCTAGTACGGTAGAGTACTTGTCATGGCATTGAGGGTTGTGTAAGTTTTGACTTGAGTAGGAGAGGAGCTCGATTGCTCCAGGGTTGTTGGGTATTGGCTCTTCAAGAACTACAGGTGTTGACTTCTAGCTCGTGGATTGAGCTATTTAGTGTGTAGTCATCCTGATTTTCTTGTTACATTTTGTGCGGTGCTTAGGGCACAACTTTAGAACGGGTTCATATTTCATGGCAGGATGTCTTTGTTGTGTGTGAGTTTCATGCATCAGTGGATGAGTTCCTGTGACCATGGAGGTCAGGTATGCGAGTGAGGGTTTTGAGGGAGAAATGTATGACCTTAGGAGTTTAGTGTTTGTGACTTGGGTCACAGTTTGGTGCGGAGGTTCTTTTCGAACCAGTCGTGGTAGGTGTGATAGAAGTTGTTTGAGTCACGAATGTAGTCTATGGGTTGTAGATGTGTATTGCAGGTGTTCTGGTGCGGTCTAAGAAAATGTGTTGGTTACGGTTGGTTGAGGGGTGATTTTCCATTTCAAAAAGTTACAAGAGTGTGCTACGAGTAATCGACTCTCAGTGGGTCGATTACATGGCTCGGTGGATGAGCGAAGTTATAAGTTGTCGTGGTTGTCAAGAGAGTCTCGAGGTAGTGTATAGTGGACAATTTTAGCTGTGTAGTGTATGATTGGACGATAAGGCAGGTATTATGTAGTCATCGGTATGTTTGGTGGTTGCGGATGAAGTGATAGATGGTAGGTACTGTGGTACTAAATAAATTGTGTTTTAGAAATTGTAAGCTGTGGACTGGAGTTGAACTTTATGTTGCGTATGGGGTATGAGGAGGTAGTACTTGTTGTTTAAGGATTCAAAGAGATAGACTGATGATTGGAATGATTGGGACAAGGGTGATCCCGTAGGTCTAGTTGGTTGCCCTATTTGACTTTTGTCAGGATCAGGAGTGTTCTGAGGAATGGTGAAAAGGAGAAGTAATGATGTTGAACTAATGGTGTGAAGTTATCTTACTTAGGCACGTAAATTATCTTGGTAAGAATGGTCGGAGTAGTTGATAAGTGTTAATGACTGATTATGATGTAGATGGTTTGAGGAGGCATTTGGATGTTAAGGATTCTGGTTTTTGCACCTTTGGGATTTGTCGGAATGGTATTGCCGTATAGAGATTTTCTAGTGGCAAGTAGTGGTTGTTGTGGAAGGTATCGAGAGTAATGTTTATTCTTTTGTTATGATGGTGTCATAGGAAGAATTACTTGGTAGTGACTTGGTGATCTGGTGAGATGAGAGGTTTGAGTTATCATTTGAGGATGATGGTAGTAGAGGCGTTATGGCGTGATGTTTAGTATTGATGAGCAGAATGGTTTGGGGTATAATCAGAGGGTGGATTGGAGAATATGAGTTGTTATTGTATGTTGTCGGGTAGGTGATGGGATTGCACGCCAGTTGAGGTGATTGTGGTCGATTTAGTCTTTAGAGCCAATGGGGGTGATGTTGCCAGATAGGCACCTTTTTCTTTTGATGAGTCAATGGGTTGTTGTGACTGAGGTCACGAGTTGGGTGTACATAGTGATCGAGACAGTATTATATGGGAAGGTAGTGATGGAATGGGTGGTAAAGTGTCATTTTATGGCATATGGGTTGTTATTTGGGAGTGACAGGATGCGGTGTCCGATGGGTTGTGATTGTTCCGAGTGTTGGTATGTTGTGAGCATTAATACTCTTGTCTGATGGTTGTGTTCTGAGTTGTATCTTAGTACTCGACGAATGAGTGGTAGGGATCTGATTGGTTTTGGTTAGCATGGGTATTGCGGGGTATCGTATGCGAGGTTTATGTGTTGATAGTGTATAATATTCCGTTAGTAGCAAGGTCGCTTAGAATTAAGTTCGTCCAT